GCCCCACTGATCCCTTTTGGCAATTCAACTGGATCTGCAGTTTCGGTCTGTGTGGAAACTGGAATCGGAAACGAGGGGATTGCGCTGGCCATAACGCAAATCTATCACTGGTAAAAGGAACACCGACCCAAAAGCTGAGTCATGACAAAGGACGACGTTTAAAATACTTAAGCGAGAGTCGAGTTGCGTGTCTGTTCCTCCTTACCACTTTGTTCTCACTTCAGTGCTGTGCAACCATATCTATCTAGGTTCCATCTAGCTAGTGGAGAGTTGGAGGAGGTATCACGTGTTCATGTCATTGATATCTCCGTAGAGGTACGGCGGAGGGTTCCGTAACCAACTTTTCTAGATGGTTCACAGCTAGTGTTGCTGCAGTTGCTTGTGGCTTTCTCACAGTCCACGGGTCCAGGGTAGTTGTCGAAAGTGGACGTCATTTTCGGCCCTTCTGATAGGGTTTGTTACATATTCACCTATCCACAGCCTATACCCCTCTTCTATTATATTCAGTTTACTCACCCAGTAGTGGAATCTTCGAATAGTTTTTTTTAAGATAGGGTTCGCTTTCTACTACCATCAATGTAGCATCTGGAGACTTCTCTAAAGACCACAAAGGCAGTAATAGGGCAGAATATGCATTGTCAACCTACAGAAGGTCTTGGGGCTAAAAGCATCATCCGAAGGCCAAGCCATCCGATAGAGTACAACAGAGGAGTTCTGAGTGGCTTGTTACCAGAACTGAGAGTCATACAAACAATTAAAATAGTACACATTTTTTGTCAGCTCAAGTAAGTGTATTACCTCTGAATGTAATGAATTGGCCCAACTCTTGACGAATGTCAAAGCATGTACTTCAACCAGCACAGTAGTAGAAGTACCTTTAAATATTTAGAAAACCACACCTTGGTTAAGAAGCAAAAAGTAACACGGGTTTGGAAATACGTAGGCATTGCTCTGAAAGATACTGTAATTCCACATACAGAATCTGACAGAATAGCGGAAACAAAAGCAATTGTTTTTTCAGATGACACTATTTTAGTGACGCATATTCCTCCCTACCACTAGCTGAAACGTTTATTCATCTCTAAAGCAAAATCTTTTAACATACTCATCTGCATTTCAAAATTAAGTTTTTACAAGACCCTTTCATTTATAATCCCCGGCTCGATTCAATTACCTAATTGAATTAAGAATAACTTCCAAGGTCCTGAAATGGCAAGTCCAAGTCTTGTTGATTGGAAGTGGCGGGTAAATATATTGTAGAAGTAAATTATAATTCCTGATAAACTCCGAACACTAACTCTTGTCAATTAGTTTCATATTACGGTACTTTGACACCTTGTTCAACTGCCTGTTTAAGTGAGCGGGCACTTTAGTCTTCTCGGGTTGCACCCCTGCTCTACGCCATGGCCTAGAGGCCCTGTCAGCAGCCTCTCACCTCTTCTGTATACTATTGGTATACAATATTAATACAGCTTTGGGATAGTACTACTTCAGCCACCACTCGGGGCACTACATTAGTGGCAGCGGAAAGTGGGTCCAATCCAAAGGGAAAACTGTCCTGCTTTGTGTGACTGAATGCTTAACCCTGACGTCACATAAAAAGGTTCTCTGCCCCGGATAAGTAATTGTGTGAAAATTTCTAATAGAAGAGCCAGAAAAGACGCCTACCTTTGTCAATTACCCCAACTCATGTTCTGCTAGGACCGCACTAGCAACTGAGGCGACACCTAATCTTGAACCATTTAACAAAAATCCATTATGGAGCTGTCTGTGGTACCTATATGAGGATGGTAATCAAACGAACAAGCGACACCTCCCCCAATTTGGTACTAGCTGAATGGCGCCCGGACAGAAGGCTGGGCAGTGCTGACATAAGAACAAAATAGCCAAAAGAATGCATGTTAAACATAAGTCCAGTAAAACTATTCCAAATCCAGTCTTTTTGGTAGGTAGCTCTGCTGTTAAGCCAGTTTCCTTAAGACTAGAGGTTACTACACGAGATGTCCTTGATGCGGAGCACCATTGTGGTTTTGAACAGCATAGAAACCAGTAGATTTACCTTCTCTGAAACTTTGATCAAATAAGTTGGAAATCCAGGTGCAATAGTATTACCGAAATGCACCGGTACCTATGGATGAGAGTTTTTCTCGTATGCAAGAAAACAGCAAAGCTGGCTTTACTAGTTTGCAAGTGGTTTTTCACTTTTATTTTATTAACTTTCTTGTGCTAACCGGCGGGGGAGGCTGACCAAGGGTAGTGCCTAAAAAGACACTCAAAAGGAGAAGGAAGACATTTAACATGGTAATTATTCATTTAACTCTTTGTTTTGGTTGCTCGGTCACTTAAGGCTCTACCCTTGTGCTTCCGCTAGGCGAATTGGACTCTTGGCCATGCCAGTGGTTCCTTAGCCCTTCTGCACATCGGCAATGTATGTTCAGCCTGCCTATTGCCTTTTTGTCGTCTTTTAAAAAAGACTCCAATAGCTAAAACTAGGATATTTGATAAGTGATGCCAATTCGACTTATTAATTAGTTAGTAAATTAACTGCAAGCCGTTTCATAATGTGTAAATAGCTAACAGGATTTTGGAAGATTTGTTTCTTCTAATTTATTCACACGTTATACCTCTTGTGTCATGTGTAGGTAATCTTCGAAAGACTAGTTCTCACATCTTTTGCAGGATTTTTCAGGTAGAGATTAATTGGATGAAAATCATACAACAAGAATGTAAACTCTTATAGATTTATTTATTTTGACGTTTTAATGCAATCTTAGATACCTCGGATTATTAGGCATTATAAATAGCCATTTATTGGTTTTAGCAAAAAACGGATTAGGTGATATCATCATTGATGACCTCTACATCCGTTGCTCCGGCATTTTTATTGGCGAAGGCATTGGCCAATCCATGCATCAAGTGCCCGTGATGTTATATCATTTCCACATCGTTGTGTGGTTTGTTAGTGCGTCGTAAAATTGTGCATCACGATACTCTAGCAACGGACGTGAACCTTCTTTGTGGATTTGTATATTCAGTACACGCTTTTTTTTGATATATGCCCCAGTATTTCCCCAATATTGTTGAATCGGGCTCATACTTAATCTGTCATTTCGTAGATTCGACCTGAAGAAATAAGTGTTCCTTTTGTCTCGCTTATTTAAGCAAAAATGACAGCATCAACTCTAGTTCAATATATTGTGGTGCGTTCCGATCTCAAGGCCTCCCTCTCCTGGTCCCTCGGTTCGGTAATCGCACAGGCATGTCATGCCTCCACGGCGGCGCTGCAGAAATTCGCAGAGCACGAAGATACACGGGCCTACGTGGCGGATTTGGAGAACATGCGCAAGGTGGTACTAGGCGTCAGTGACGAGGCCAAACTGGCCTACCTTTCACAATGCCTCGAGGGCGAGCAGATTGACTTTGTGTTGTGGCGCGAGCAGCCCGAGAACATCCTTACTGCCCTCGCCCTCCGTCCTTATCAAAAAAAGGCTGTTCGAAATCTCCTCGTCGAGTATCCACTGTTCAGTTAGGCTCATCTGTGTACACTTGCACGTATATTCAAAAACAGTATTTCCCACCTTCCAACAGGTAACATCCTGTTGTGTCCCCTAATCGATGACTTGTGACAGTGTGGACGGGAGTGCTGTTAAATGCTTTTTTGAAACCCTTTATTCAGGTTCTATCAGACACCTATTTCATTATCCATGTTCTATTGTTTGTATGATTCTCCGGCCCTTGTCGGTGTTGGATGTTGAGTGTATATTCTAAAGTGCGGTTCTTTCTTTTGCGAATAGGTAATTATTGCCTAGCAGGTCTGATTTTTACTTGAAAAGAAGTTTGGCACTTGCACCCGCTTAGCTACGTTACTAAAGTTTATAAAGTAGATGTAATTTGGGAAGTGATTTCATAGTGTTGGCGTTGCTTACCGCCCAAAATAGGGAATCACAATGCTCTAACTTTAATTGTGTGATTGCCGATAGAGTTACGGCCCGTTCTCCGTTGCAACTTCTATAAAGTATTGCAGTACCTTCGTGTGGTCTCAATTCTTTGGTAGTAACTAATATCGAGTCTGGTTCCTACTTTCTCCCTGTCTGCTCCCATAATGCCCGGGAAGTGAGAAATTAGTAAACAAATACCGGTTTTATGGTACATAAATAGCACATCTTTGGTGAAAAAAATCGCAGCCTTTTGAATAATCAAAAAATGAGCAGGTCAGCTGTGGGTGCTTCGATGTCTGTGCGCTTGCGTGCAAAGCGGGAAAAGATGTTGGACAATGCCTCAGTACTTGTCTCCGACCTGTTGCGTGGTCCGGGTCCTGGCCAGCCTCTGCCGCTCAATCAGCAGGGTATCGTACTGATCCAGCACCTGCGCTGCCAACTTAACAAAATCCTTCTCCGCCAGCGAGAGCTGCACACGCGCCTCCATGGCCGATCGTACCCGCTCGGTCGCCGCGTTTTTCGGCGCGACCTTGTTTGGTACCCGCTTTCGCGGCTTCGTCTTACCCGCGACGTTCAGCGTCTGTGCACAGTAGAGCGGCGATACTTCACCCATTAGCAGCATGGAGGCCATGGTTCTGGGCCACCTGGACACTGGCATCAGGTAGGGTGTTATCATGGGCTGTGGCAACTTTTGCCTCCCCTCCACGTCAGTGGTTTTTCGTTGAAAATCGCAGGATCGCGGTCGGCGTCGTGGTTTGGCCAACTCGTTTATACGATCAGAGCTGAGAGTTGGCCGTGGGCGTTTGCTAGAGTGTGTCGATTCAATGGAAGTCTGTGTCCATGCGGGTAGATGCTGAGCTTTCAAAGGAGCGGATCTCGCGGGAGCATTTGAGGATAGTGACCCACTTACACACTCTGGCGGCTGACAACTTGAGCTTCGGCGAGTCTGCATCGCTGTTGTGGAAAAGTCATCGGCAACCTTATGAGATGGCACTGTAGATGGTGCCTTGGTAGAAACCGCCGTGCTTTGCCTTAAAGGGGTTCTACCCCTCTTTCGAGGAGATGCTTGATGAGATAAAGTAAATTTTCCTGACCTAAAAGTGGACGTTTTTTTAGATGTTATCGTGGACAGACTCCCTTTTGATCTTGTTGACTTTGGTGAAGCTTTTCGTTGATTACTATTTGTCGTCATTGAAACCGTTGAGTCGGCTGAAAGAGATTTTGTGCATTGTGAGGCAGAAGACCTTCTAGAGTCAGTCGCCAAGGTGGAAGGTTGGTCATCATTAATCGGATGACTTGTAGGACTTTTGCGTGTGGATATTGAGTATTTGCTGGGTCGACCTATAGGTCTTGAGGTGGATTGAGTTTTATCTGTAACCTCTGCCAAGGATTCATTTCGCGTTCCGTTGCTGGCTGCTGAGTTGAACCTGGAACCGCTGGCCACAGGTATAGATGATGTTTGAGAAAGAATATCACTTGAACCGCTATGGCAAGAGGACTTTTCAGAATGACTCACTTTTGATTTGGACATTACACAGGAAGTCTCTGATTGTGCTGCATTTTGCATAGGCGATTCATCAAAAACTTTGGCTATGTCTTCGTGGCTTGCCATTTCATCGACTTGCTGATCTACAAAAAGGCGCATATCACTGGCGCTTTCACGACTTTTGCTTCTACTGCTGCTACTAGTGCTACTGCTTCTGCTTCTAATTCTCTCTTCTGGAAGGACAGTATCAACGCGTTCAGAGGTAGACTTGCAGATATCATTTCCACAGGTAGACTGGTCGAAGGTGAAGGAGGAAATTTCAGAGGTATCGTGAGAACCCTCTGTCATGCTGGTGATTTCCTGTGACTTGGACGCCTTAGAAGCATTTGTAATACCTTTTCTACTAGCAGTACCATTAAAAATGCGCTCCAACTCAAGAGCCGGTCGATAATTCGGTGTATTGCGTAAGCAGCTCCTCACCACGGAAAGTGGTGAAGTCTCGGTTTCATCGTCTGTTCCAGCATCAGCTCCGGCTTCAACAAGCATTTGACAAATTTCCACGGCGACGTTGTGACTTGGCGCCCGCTCCTTTGTTCTCAAAGCCTGGTGAGTTGCAATTTGAAGAGGAGTCTGACCGGATGCATTTTTGATATCAATCAAATCATCAGCAACTGCGTCGATTTGCAACAGCCGTGCGACACACTCCTTATTGGAGTTGGCACACGCCTCGTGGAGCGCTGTGTCACCAACAACGTTGACCTTAGCTGGGTCCGCCCCATATTCGAGCAATAAGTCAATAACATTGGCTACAGTGTTTGCCGAAGCTCTGCTGGTATAGTGGAAAGGACCCCTTCCACGGCTGTCAGCGGCTTTGGCGTCTGCTCCGGCGATAAGAAGCTTCTTGGTGACGTTGAAATGTCCCATCGTTATGGAGTAGAAAAGTGGTGGGCAGTTATCGGAGTCCAGAGCATCCAGAATCCTCCCACGTTCTTCCTTGTCCATTCGTGAGTCATCCAGATGTTTAATGATAGTCTGGACGGTTGAGGCGTGGCCTCTGGAAGCGGCACAGTGGAGTGCTGTCAGACCGCTCCTTTCTGCCTTGCAGGGGTCTGCTCCGAGCTCAAGAAGAATGCTAGTTGAAAGTGCAGCTCCAATTGTGGCAGCCCAGATCAGTGGAGTTCGTCCACGTGCATCAACACAGTTGATGTCTATGTCGGAATGCTCGACAATACATTTGATAATGGAAGTAGAGATTCCTTCAGGAAGCTGAACAGCGTAGTGCAGCTCCGTGGCTGATTGGACATCCTGAATACCGACATCCATGGTGAACTGATGTGTAGTCCCTTTAGCATCCTCAAAGGATCCGGAAAGCAAGAAGTCAAGCATTTCGTAGTTAGCGTATATCACTGCCAGGTGAAGAGCGGATCGGCCAGAGACCGTGATGTTACCTTCTTTCTGCATCACTTCATTGGTGGTTGGGGGAATCACCAGAGTATTTACGTTCACACCGTGGGAGAGAAGAAGCTTAGCCAGTGGGATATTGCCGTGGATGACGGCGTAATGGAAGGGGAAAAAGCCATCGTTGTCTGACTGATTTTGCAGCTTGAAGTCGGAGTCCAGAAGAATCTCGGCGCAGGCCAGCCGACCTCCAGGTTTCGCCTGCCCTGAGGGACCGTCATCAGTCTCTGCGCAGTAATGCAACGCATTTCTGCCCTTCCGATCCTTCACCTCGTCAAAATTACAGTTCGAAGCGAGGAGTTTTCGTAAGAAGACCACATCGCCGCGTTTACAGATATTCAACACCGCAATAATGTGACTGGCCTTCATGGTGGGGGTGGAAATCATCACGTCAGATGAGTGGAGCTGCGACTAACCTCCTCTGCTTCGCCTTAGCCTCCAGTGTGTCGACATGGCAACATTGGCACGGTAGGTGATTGGCCACTCGAGCGTGCAAACACTCGGTTGCTATGGCTCTCACTGGCGCCAGTGTGAGTGCACTTATGCTACCACGGTGGTGGCAACACTGCTTCAGCCAAATTTTCAGTTAAAATTTATTTTATTTACAGTCAGTTTTTACCAAAATTCAAAATACACTATTTCTTTGGTTTGTAAGCCTTCAAGAACTGCTGTTAAGTAAAAGTTGTACAGCAGTGTGCTCTTTTCAGTTCGGAGTAAAATATAGGGTGTTAAACACGGCTTGTCAAGTGTTTAAACCATGGAAGACAACACCCATTACTTATCCTCCTTCTCTCCGCGAGCAGTTTGACTGCCAAGTCGTAATCGCTTGTATGACTTTCGCCACTATCCCTGAAAAAAAAAATACGTGCAAGTTAATGAGTTGTTGTGTTAAAGTCATTTCCTTATGGTGTAAATCCCAACTGACAACGGTAGCACATCTCACGCACATAAATGGAAAGAAAGTAAACAAGGATCACCATTGACATTGATTGGGAAGCTGACGGAATTGCCACTATGACAATCATCAAGGCGGTCTCAAGCGTTGGATTTTGATTCCCTAAATTTAGCAAGTAGAAAACGGAAATGTTTTGGGCTCTCAAATATTTTGTTTGGTTACTAAAAATTTGTTGTAAAAGTCAAGAATTATGGCTAAAATGAGCAAATGACTTTAAACAAAATTTAGACATTAAAGATACGAAGTTTGATGCGGTGCCCGCAGACTTCCCTGAGGACAAAAGAAGACAGGCGGAATATGTATTGTTGACCTGCGGAACAAATTGGAGCTCCTGGTGTGGCCGAGAGACCAAGTCACCTGGAGGAAGCGCAGTGGTGGAGCCCCAAAGTAACCCGTAACGCGACATTTTTTATAGCCCCTCTCCCCTTTTGAACGTCGCCCCCAGCGCTATCCTTGGTCGGCCATCACGACTTAATCGGTGTTGCAAGAAAAGCACTTACGAACCAACCTCTCCAGTCATCGGATTTTCATGCAACTGAGGAGATATTTGACCGCACTGTCACTGACCCCCCTTGGTGATTCTACTGGATCTGGAGTTTTATCCTGTGTAAGAACTGTATTGGCGGGCAGAGGATGTGCTGACCATCACGTGTGTCCATCGCTTGTCATTGGAACACTGGCCCAAGGCAATCATTTAGCATGAAGGTAAGGTTTTGCATCTGTTCCTTCTCATTACTTCGTTCCCAATTCAGAGGTGCCTAGCCGTATCTATCCGGGTTCTATCTAACAAATTGAGAGGTGGAATTGGTATCGCACAATCAAATAATCGGCATCATCACACAGTTACCGTGGACTGCTCCGTAACAAACTCTTATAGACGGTTTGCGATTAGTGTCTCCTTGGCTGTTACTGACTTTCCCGCAGACCATAAGACCGACGTGGTTGACAAAGGTAAACTTCATTTTCAATCCTACTGTTGGGAGTCATCATCAGCTTTTTCCATTCGCAGCATATTTAATTCGTCCGTCACACTGAGACGCTATCACGGTAGTTATCCTTTAAGAGCGGGTTTGCTTTCCATTGCCAACAATGTAGCGCCCCAAGACTTCCCTTCAAGCGAAAGGAGGCAAAATACTCTGGCTTATATGTATTGACACACAGCAGGGCTTGGGGCTACTAACATGGCCTGGTTGCCAGGCCTCCCGGCAAAGGAGCAGTGACGAAGCCCCTAAGTGGTCTGTTTCCTGAAACGTAGAGTTAAGCAAACAAATCAAGCATTGCATAAACGCTCCATCCTACCGTCAAGGGTTATTTGATTCGAGTTCGAAATTAATGGGGGCTTCACATTAGGTACAAAAACAAATAGTTGCCTCATTTGGATTAGATTGTGAAAAGGAAATTTTTTAACTTATGTACCACCTATATATCTGATGTTTCAATGGCCAACATGGATTTACTTATCAGAAATCTGGCACAGGACTGATCTAATCGAGTTAGACGACAAATAGTGTAAAAATATTTATTTTAAATTACTTCATTTGCTTAAAAGTTTTTTAAATAAGTTTGTTTTTGTGAAACAATATGAAAAACTCTCTGACGTACTGAAAGGAAGTTGTGAAAATTCCCTCCACCAATCCCCGACCTGCCATTAAACACCCAACATCCAACCAATGAGCAGAACCCCCGAATCTTCCCAACTTCTCCTACCCTTCTGCATATCCTCACAGTTCACAATGGTAAGTCATTGAAGGTTTTTTTACCAGATTTATTATTTCTGCCCTCTTGCAGGCCAACCTTTCAAAAGCCGAGGTAGATGGTAAGTGTGGATGACCGTGGTGAGGCTGTTGTTGTGTGTGCCCTAGTTACACACTTGACTTTCTACAGACGTGCGTGAAGTGTTCGAGGTCTTTGATTTCTGGGACGGTCACGATGGCATGGTGGATGCAAGCCGCGTGCCCGACCTCCTTCGGTGCACTGGACTCAACCCCACCAATGCCTGCTGTCTTCGGAATGGGACTTTGACTGAGGCAGGTGGGTGGATGACCGACTGGTTAGCCAACTATATAAGTAGTACCATCTTTTCGACCTTTTAAGATGGGTTTAATCCCTTTTCTTGAATGCTGTCCTTTTTGCTCAAAACATGAACAGCTTAGGTTTTTTCTCATCTCTTTGACTCCACCTTCGCGATGTATGGTACTTGGACGTAAATTTAAACCAGTTTCACTCAGTCCTTCTCAATATAATTTGATAGGCAACAATGAATTGTATGGTACATGTACTGACTTCATCTAAAATAATATTAGGCAAGCTTGTTACTTTAAATGGGTGTTAAAAAGTAGAGATTAGTATGGAGGAGGGTATGACATTCTCGTCATGGTGATATCAAGCTGTAGGAACCTTCCAAAGTTGCACCCACTTGAGACTTATAGTGGAGCCAGTCAGCAGTTTGTAGTGTAGATGGAAAGTTTCAGTGTAAAAGTTGCAGATTAGAGGATGCTTAGAAGGGACGTTAAAGCACGGTAGCGGTAATGGTACCACCAGGCCTAAGGTGGATGCCAGCATCCACTTCATACATCAACGTGAAAATGGAGGCTTTTGAAGGAAAAGAACTTCACTTAATTTGTCACCCACGTTGTTAAATTGATGCTGCCGTTATTCTTTGAAATCGAAACGAATTTAAATTAGGTTGAAGTTAAGACTTAACTGTGAGGCGGGAGTAATCGGATGAGGAACGAATTGCTGCCTCCTTCTTCGTCCAGATGAGTGCGTCTTGTCAATCTCAAAATTGCAGATTTGCTCCTTTCCTACTCTCCTGTATGTTGTGAATTTTGGAAATCTGAACAATATTGGAAGAAAAAAATCTACTAAATTAAGTTGCAGCAATATTGCGAGCTGCCCGTAGTCTACCTAGCACTGGAGCGTGGAGACTGCCAGACGTAAGGTAGACGATGGATTAGGAAAATAAATCATCACACATTATAATGATTATTCTAACCCCAAATACTACCCCGTCAACAGAGCGAAGTGTTGACTCATTGATAAGCAGGATTTTGGCTCCCTTCAGTCTCTCTCCTGAAGTTGTAAGAAGTCATGCCGGTGGGGGTGAGTACTGCCCATTTACAGGATGGTTGGCTGTAGGCATGATGGAGGCAGACCGGGTATGACATATCACGGCACAACTGCGTTCTGCAAGCCACTTACGAGTCAGGAACAGTGGTCCTTAAACTTTCGTGCAAGTGGGAAGTCATTTGACTCCATTTCCGTTGACGTGTCTCGACAATTCCACTGTGTCTAAAGGGAGGAGGGTTAACTGACCTCGTACCAATCAGAGCTGGAGGATACCCAACAACAAATCCGTTCCATATGACAATCAGTATAGGTAGGATCTAATATTCTGTCCATCCTCCCTTCTTCCAAGTTTTCTTTTTTTCAATACTGTCCGACAATCTATCCGGATTCGAATCGAATAGTAGAGATATGAAGAAAGCATTACTTGCTCATGAAATCCACCGTAGGAAGCGGGCAGTAGGGCCATGCCGTCCGGTGAATGCACGACCTGTGATGCCGGAAGAACTCGTACTTTTGAATGCACACTTTATTCCATTTTTTAATGGACATAGTAAGAAGTCTAGTCACTAACGCATTTACCCGATAAATTATGACCAAGCAACCATATCGGTGTAAAAATTTCACACATTTTTCCAATTTCGTATGGACTCCTGAAATCTTTGCTAGTTTTCGTAATAGTGCAACGACCTGAGTCTTCCTTGAAGACGAAAGAAAGTCCTAGTGCTAGGCGGAATGTGTATTGCCGATATAGAGAAGGGATAGGGTCGGGAGAGGGGCCACTGGTATGGCCCAGAGGCCATTCAACTCAGCGTAAGTACAAAGGCAGAGCCTCAAGTGCCTACATGGTCAAAATGAAAAGTAAAACAGAATGTTACAAAAGCATGAATTTACAACACACGATGGTTTGCACTTTTGTCTTTATGGCATGACCTTCTAACGATGACCACAACCTTCCAGTCCTTCTGTGCATGAATGGCATGCTTCAACACAAGTACAGCTTATGACGATTTTAGTTTCAGGGAAAACTTGCATCGCCACAGAACCATTAAGTTTTAATATGTGGGCATTTTAAGTGACCATCAATAAAACTTTTGTCGATTACACCATGAATACTTACTTTGAGGGCCGTATTTATCAACTAAGCCTTGTATACTCCCAAATAGTACTTCGAATGCCTAAAAAAAATCTTATTTTATTCACATGCAATATTTGCATCAAAATCAAAGTTAATTAGTTTCAGCAAAATTGTTTCTGTGCTAGAGGTAAAACTTGAAGAGGCGTATAAAATGAATAAATGTAGAGCCCCAAGACTTCTAGAAAGGCTTGGAGGCTACTGACATGGTCCGAAGACATTGCCGCCCGGCAAAGGTACAATGGCGGAGCCTCTGAGTTGCCTGTTCCCAAGACCAGGAGTTAAACAAGCAATTAAAGTATCACATCTTCCGTCTCCTCTCTCGAGTACTATCCCTGTCACTGCCCTTGGTGAACCTCCCACATCAGCCATCACAGCGTAGTGGGTGCCTTAAGAGCAACATCCACGAACCAACCGTGCCAGCCATCGGATTTGTGCAACTAAGAAGATATCTGGCTACAAAGCCACTGATCATAATCGACGATTTCACTGGATCTGGTATTTTTTCCCGTTTTGGAAACCGATTCGGGGACGGGGAACCGTGCGGGTCATCACGCGTGTCCATTGCTAGTCGTAGGGACACTGGCCTGAAAGTAGTCACTTAGTAAAGAATTCAACACAGTTCCCCGTCTACCTCTTCTTGCCAATTTGTTCTCACTCCAGTACTGTCCAGCCATATCTATCTAGATTCCATCTAGCTAGTAGAGAGGTGGAGGAGGTATCGTGTGTCCACCTCATTGATATCTCCATAGAGGTACGGCGGAGGGCTCCTTAACGAGACTTTCCAAACGGTCCACGGCTAGTATGGCTCCACTTGTCAACAGCCCACCTGTAGAACATGAGACTATGGTAGTTGGCGTAAGTAAACTTAATCTTCAGACCTTCTGGTAGAAGACGTCCTGTATTCTCCCTTTCGCAACACATGCACTTCTTCAGTCGCAATACGATTTATTACCCAGCAGTGGAAATCTAGAGGCTTGTCCTTTAGGATCCGGTTTAATTTCCACTCTCACCAATATAGCGCCCCGAGATTTCCCTGAAGGCAGAGTAGACAATACTCGGGCAAAATATGTATTGTCCATATACAGAGGGGTTTGGGGCTACTGGCCTGACCCAGAGGCCAGCCCACCCGGCAAAGGTACAATGGCGGAGCCCCTAATTGGCCCCTTTGTCAAAACCGAGAGTTAGACACACAACCAAAGTATCAGAAATAATTTCTAAATGGCCGAAATCAGGACACCATGACATGTCCAACCAGGCATCGTAACGACTATCTCCTTTACTACTTTGGTCCAACACCGCTCACGGCAACCTTCCAATGCCTGGTGAACTGGCGTCTCTCTTGCATTTCAGGCGAGTGCCAGTACTCCTTCGAGGAATTCCTCTCGGTGTATCAGGCCATCAAATATGAGAGTACTCCTCCCGACAAGGTTTTGTTCATGCAGGTCTTCAAAAGTTACGATCGCGAATCGCAGGGCGTTTTAAGCGCCGCTCAGATCCGACACATTCTGGAGACTTATGGTGAGGCTCCTGTTCCTCTTGCTGAATCACACATTTGCATCAGCTATTATTTAGTTACTTTTCAGATAATAATTTTTTATGCCATAATTTGGTTACTACTTGTCTGACTTGATATTTTTAAGTCCATAGGATACTTTATTTCTTATCCTTTTAAGGTCATGTCATGGGTAGCCATTGTAAGCTGGGTACGTGTTTATTATGATCATCACTGAGGTAAATTTATTTCAAGTAGTGAACTGGGCGGAAGATTCTTGATGACCAACTGAAGCAGACGTGTGTTTCGAGCTTATTTTTGCCGTATTTAGAGGTTGTTCATGAGTGACGCCAAATAGTCGCTACCACAAAAGTAGCGATTGCTAGCTGGTGTCGATATTAAATGACCACTTCATGGATTTTAAAAATTGGAGTGTTTAGCACTTCTATGTTTAAATCACGAAAACTTCAGCATTAATATGGTTAGATTTTATCAAGCTCTTTCGTGTTTTCAGCATTTCTTAACTCTTAAAGCCGCAGTTTTGTTTTACGCTAAGGAGAACGCCTGAGTGAAAGTGAGACTGACAAGATGTTCGAGCTAATGGGCTACCAACACGGAACTGTGAAATATGAAGGTAAGTTTTCTTTCCACTATCACACTCGCTGAAACAGCCACCCGCAACTAATCTGCTTCCCTTTTTTTCAGAACTAATCGACAGAATACTGGAAGAAACAACGGAAGCTGAACTTTCTGAATGAATTAATTGCTGCAGAATTGAAACTTATCTCCCTCGGCTACTTATTATCACATAATTGTCCTTAACACAGGCCACTTTGGACTTAGAATCTATCCACAAGTGTAGTGATGACTCCTCATTTCCTTGGATAATGGTTTTCATGTAATACGTGAATAACATTGTGCCCGAATGATTTCAAGTGTTCCCATGTAGTGTGGGATAACAGAAATGTTCCAAGGAATATGTGTTTGCATGATCAAGGCGGCCTACTTAATGCCGTAAATCACAAATAGTCTTAACTTTGTCATCACGGAATCCATACAAAGACGATCCATGGCCCAGCAAACTGGAAGCATTGCCAGTTCCTAGCATTTGTGCATTCATAGACCTAGACAGCAGATACAATGGCCAAGCTCAACTTTAAACTATAGAATTATATTTGGAGATCTAGTTGACCACAAGACGCAACTATGTACATCCAACAAAGTTAGCAACAAATACATATTATTTGAGTTCAATATATTAGAGCGATTTCTTTAGTTTCCACAGGTGTAATGCCGCTAAACGTTATAAATCTGTGGCCATACCTGCAGCCTTCCAACCATTCCTCATGTTAATAATAAATCCATTTTACTACTGGTGCGGCTCATTACAACTCCAGGGAACACTAGTGGTGCCACATTCATTTCCACCTGAAAGAGAGTCAACTTTTCCTAACAGTTTTGAAAGTCGGAGAGCTTGCGTAACTGCAGCATAGTTTGAACACTGCAGGAATTTAACGCATGATTGACGCGTTGCATTTTATTTCGGTGAGGTATTTTTGAATTTGTCATTGCTTTACTTTGGCAGCAGATCGTAATTATCCGCATCCAAACCTTAAGTTGGATTTAAAAATAACGCTGTAGCATCCAAAAACATGCTTTTTTCAACTGAAGTCATCGAAACAATCCATTTTAATTTACCACCCTTGCGTTTTATTTTCAGCGCATAGTTCAAGCTGGCCATTTGTTGTTAGACAAATCATTCGGTTGGGTGTAACGTTCTGGATCCGTTGGCTAAAGTTTGGTTCATTACTCCCATAAGTTTGGTTGTGAATTGTAAACATGGCTGGCAATGATCTCGCTGATGCCTACTACAGTATACCTCGCATTACCAGATACTGGCTAACGGCTACAATCATCTTTTCTTTGATTGGGAGATTTGGATTAATCAGTGCCTATTCTCTCATTTTAATTTGGAGCAAGTTCTTTTATGACCTCCAGGTTTGATTCTGGTTGCATTTTACGGGTTTTAGCTTTGGCGCCCCATAACCGCACTCTTCTTTTATCCCATAACGCCTCAAACGGGTTTCCACTTTCTCATTAATTTGTATTTTCTCTACTCATATTCTATGCGTTTGGAAACAAGTAAGACGGCTCTGTGGTGTATTTGTCTTAGGCACATTCAGTGGAAGACCTGCGGATTATGTGTTTATGTTGCTTGTTAACTGGATAACGCTGACAGTATCCTTTTTATCGTATTAATACTATGGTAGTTGATTGCTGCGTCAATGTATGTGAAGTAAATGTTTTATTGAACTTTTTGTTGCAGTTTAATGGAACTGTCTTCTGCTACATTTTTATAAGTTTTGAATAGATATAGTGAACACTGTTTCCTATTAATCATACTGGCTGCTTTAATTGCCGGTGGCCTGATGTTTGAAGTTTAGGCAGGTGGATGTGGCTACACATATTTTTGTTATTTCAGGTTAGAGTGCTAATTTTACCATCAAATCCAGAAATTATTACGCCATTCATCCGGCAATTTTCCTTGACTATCTGCTTAGCTGGTCGGTTTCCTTCTCAATATTTACGTGAGTTGTCTGTCTGCTTTTTATCCATTTCAATTATTTTTACAAGGTTCTCATGCTTACTACCAGAAGTCTTTTCACACCAGTTCATAAATACGACAGTTTTCAAACTCAACATTTGCCATTTTCGTATCGTGTTTCATCTAGCTTCTCTTCGAACCCATGGTTCTTAGTGTCATCTACGTTTGGAGCCAATTGAACAGGGATCTCATCGTTCAATTTTGGTTTGGAACTAGCTTCAAGGCCGTATATTTCCCCTGGGTTCTTGTTGTTTTTAATCTCATTATCCGCGGAAGGTAGTTTTTTACCTTTGTTCCGTTGCTTACGATTGCTCTCCACTTGCGAGTTTTAGGGTTTTGGAGAAATTCCTTAAAATTGTATATATTGCATCCAGATCTATATTGCGTAAAATATTTCGATCACTCTGTTGAGGGACATTTAAGTAAGAATTGTTTTCCCTCAAATACATTTCTCAGCGATAAATACCGTAGGCACAAGTAGATCGGATACTCAGATACGATTTTAAATGCATAACCACATTGTGTTTGAAAACCAAATGGTGCTAGCCTAAACTTTGTTTTATTGTGCATTCACTGGTATGCATTTTATCAATAACAGGTCGCATTTTGCCATTCATGTAGTCATAATTGCGGTCAGATTATTCACCGTTAACTTTTACAAGATGTTTCACATCCTCTTCCCTTCATAGTGCTACCATGGAACTGATGGGAATATTCGTCGGTCACGTCTACTACTTCTTCTCACATCAATATCCTCTCGAGTACGGTGGGCCCCAGCTCTTGAGGACTCCCGATTTTCTGTAAGCCTCGTAGTCCATAATCTTCGCTGTGGTAGCTCTCATTTTTTACTGAAATGGTTGTAGTAGTAAATCTTTAGTTGTAGGGCAATCCGTTTTCATTTGGATTTCTTTTCGTTTGCACCGATGTACTGCATTTAACACGTAGAGATTGTCTATCGTACTAATGAATTTCGCCGATTTACAAAGTATGCATATAAACTTCTTTGATAAATGCTCAAATTGTCACATGTGAATGTCTTTAATCGTCCCCGTTTCCAACCTCCTTTATGCGAATTGGCCTAGCTTCGTATTCATTCATCCTGCCGTCTTATCTGCAAATTAATGCACGATAACATCAACTATTAAATCAGATTATTCTATCATTTCATGCAGTAAGATAGCATATCTTTTCATCTCAAATCTCACTTAGTTGGCTAGTCAAATTTGAGTTGTGTATTCTTGCAATCCTAACTGGAGGGGTATATTTCGGTTTCACATAGCCTATACTAATGGAAGACTGGAATATCCAGTGCCATTTTATGCGAATATCAGCTTCAGTGAATGGTGCTATGCATGTCTACTCTAAGTAATTGGTGTTTGAGTTATGGCCATAGTCGCAACAGATGTTTGTTACCGCCTAACAAATTGTCACTATTCTCTTCCCATCGCTGCCTCTCAGATATCGTTTGTATCCGGTGGAGCGGAACTTCGCCTCCGGTTTCGGTGTTCCCCCACCTCGCATGCGGAGAAGCGATGATACCTCCAGTCGCGGCTTTCCTGGACGCGGTCGCACCCTCAACGAATGACTTTGTCCCTTTTCTTCCTCTCTCCCTACTCAAAGCACATGCGTTTTGATGGGGACCTCAATTTGCTCGATCGCCTTCACTTTTTTGGCGCTTCTCGCAAATTTGTAGTTCCTTCTCTCTGTAGATAAGGTTTCTTCTATGTTGCCTCAACGAGTTCATATCCAGGAGTTGCATCCACTTTCGGAATTGCTATCTGCTATTTTTGGTGCTTCGGCATTTGATGTGAATTGTGTGAAAACAATCTTCTGTTCTGAACTCCATATTGCTACGAATAGCAGTTCATTTTGTTTCATAGTTTATGTTGCACCCATAGTAATTTGGACAATAAGCGTGGGTGGATGTTTACGATAGCCTCAGTAGACCGTAACACGAAGTGTGGCTTTTATCTTTCCAATATTTTGTAAATTATTTTGTCTTTGGCTGTACAGATAAGCACAGGTTCAAGGTGGACTGAAGGGGGAAGAGTCTGCATACGTTAGAGGCTTTTTCTGTCCTTGCTTTCCCAAATCAAGGTTCTTTCCTCACTGTCATTTAAATAAGATGGTCGGTAATGAGATCTTCCCAACTTGGCTGCCTGTTGTTTCTTTAGTTCGTGAGTGGGAAAGAGATGCCCTGCTTGAGAAAATACTCTCCAAATCCCGGCTGATTCTCGGGTGGAACCGTTGTTAGGCCTTTGGGTAAGGCAGATCCTGCGCGGAATTAAATTCATTTGCGTTTCTAAGTGTTGCTACGCCTGGGAGAGCTTCTTACTCTGCGTATTTGCAATAGTTCACTCAAGATGTTTTAAAGTGTGGAGGCCCTGGGAGGATTTTCTTGCTTTGCAGCATGCTGTAAAGGTTATAAGGTTCGGTCGATTCGAATCAAATCATCCGTCTCACTCGCACTCAACCATGTTCGGGATGATTAACTGGCATTCATTCCATTGTCTTTTAGCAAAAGCAAATGTCATCGCCCATCTCCCTCCCTTTACTCACTCACTGGCTTATTGCCAGAACCCTTTGATAAGATGGGGGTCTTCTCAAGGAAATGCGAAATTAGCAGCCAACTTCACCTATGCTTTTTGCACGGACACTTGATAATCTTGATGAAGGTCGAAATTTGTTGTCTTTCACTAACTCTAGGTGGTATGCAAGTTTTTAAACTTTCCTGCATGGGGTCGTGTACAACGCCTTTTTTGCACCCAAAACTGCGTGTTTACCTTTGAATCAAGAATTTTCATCACAAGGAGATTTATCGTTTTGCCCGAGGTCGCGTCTGACTCTTTACGAATTGGATAGATTTGCTCGGGAAGCAATTTTAACACTGATTTTACCACATCTGCCTTGATGGCATTAGCGCTTCTAGTTACACTTTGATTCAAAAGTCTAGTAAGCTTTTGAAAAACCTTTGAAGCTATTAATCTCGCTCCCGTTAGATAATGATGCTGATTACCATGATGACGGTTTTGCCTTCGCGCGAATGGGTGTAAGCGCCTAGAAGGTACTCCTCTAATTATCCCTCCAAACTACTCCTTTTATGATGCCAAACTGGGCAGACCACTTCCAATAGGCCTCCATCTCTCAAAGTGGTCGGTAGTGCTAAATTACAAAAAAGGCATCCGACTAAGTTTAGATGATATCCACCCAAGTTGCCCTTGATTAGTGAATGGCCATTTCCTGGATGTATTTGTGTGTAGATGTGCATGGCAAAGATTCGTATGTAGGTGTGGACTCCGAAGCGCCAAACCGACTGCTGAGCGCCAGGCCTTGAAGGTAAAAAGGCCGGGCCTTCATCAGCAGCGCATGAAATTATTGCGAATGGAATTGCAACATCAATCGCGAGAGGAAGCGGCCACTGTGCTAAATTCCTCCTCATTTCAGCTGACAACAATGTCCACTGGACGAGTGCGGAACGACTGGCGAAGTGTTTGGTGATGCACCGATGCATACGTAAGGCGCACTATCATTCCCGTTTTGCTATTAATAACCAAGCAATAGCAGCAACTGTGAAGCGTAAGCCTGCTTCAAATAGCAGTACTTGTCCAGACGACAGTTGCTATTACCACTAGATTGCTTGAAACCACAACATTTCGAGGTACCTTCAGCAGTTTGATTAATAAATATGAATTATACTAATGAAACCACTTCAGAGTCCTTGTCGTTGGGCACTCGAAATTAAAAAAGCGAGGTATCTTTCATTGGGACACTAGAAAATCTTTAGTTTCGCTGCGTTTGTTAGACACTGAGCAGTTGAATAAATATTTTTAATGCCTAGCGTCTCACAAAAGCCCATTTACGCCATTTTTGGTTTGTGTCTGAGTTCATTAGCATAACTATCTACAATGTCGTTCAAATATGCTTGCATTTGAAACGATTTCTCCCCTAAACCATTGCATCACCAGGAGCGAAAAGTATTGCGACCTTCTAATTTCAGCAATACTGTCGGCAATAGCCAACAATTTGGCAGAAGCCGAAAATCAAATTTAGCACGGGATTAAAGCTTCTAACAAATATTACTGAGCTACTATAAGTCGTCAAAAACACCAAACTTTGTTTAATGAACACAGACCAAAAAAACATGTCATCCATCAGTCGCATTTCGCTTCTACTGGCAAACGGTGCGCCATTTGAGTCCGGAACCGGATCGTTAAGCCAGTGTTTTGGCCCTTGGTGGGTGCGTGACCCAGTGTGCTTGACTGCCAAGTGACCGTTGCCTTTACTTTTGGTAGCTTGTAAAAGGGTGTTAAACCCACACAACCGCCTAACAGAAGGCGGCATGAAGCATGGTTTGCCCCACTTCCCAGATATGTTGAACTCTAGTATAATATGCTTGTCGGTTGAAACCTATAGACTTGACTCAAGTCCGTCTCCTTTGAGAATGTAAGTCCGATCCCGCAGCTGCGGACACTTCTCTTGCAGCTTCTTGCAAAGCATTTGCAGGATTGGTGGTAGCCGAGATCGTCAGGCAATAATGGCAACCGCAGTGATGGCTATCCTTGGTAGTAAAGACGAACTATGAACTGCTATTGGCCAAAAGGAATCGAAATCCACGTGTCAAGAATAACTTTTTTCAAGTTGTACGTGGGCGGTTAAGCCACCCGTCTATGACTACACCAACTTGGAGAGTCGTGGAGGCTAAACCAATGCCACGTACCACCTCGTCCACAGGAGACTATGTTCGCTGTTTGTGGTGCATGGCAGACGCAATTTTTAGGCAGAAATTTCTCATTAAAGGACTAAAAGCAGATAGGAGTGAGTTCGATCACCTCAATACGATAAAAAGCATCCTGTCCCACAGAAACAACCAGTGGGACTGGTTAATTGCTCGGGGAGGGTCCTATCCTTAAGGGACAACGCATGACCCTATACATCATGCCGCCGTAAAAGCTACTTATGAGCAGATTGGGACCTTAGGATGGAAGGTAGGTGTTGCCTAATTTTCATCCGCCTTTTCTGAATTGCTTTCGCGTTTTCTCTCAGTGATTATCGCCATTTCTTGGCATTCACTAGTCACATGGGAAGTCAAATACACTGTTTTGAAGTAAGTAAGGTGGAAACGGAGGTGGTTAGGGTTATCCTTTTGCTTCCGAAGGCCAAATGTTGTATAGGAGTGGAATTTGCAAGCTCGCGTCCCGGTGGGCGAGGGGTATAGGCTGCATTGATGATTATCTCAATGACCAGAATGCTGTACGAAGCTGTCTGTCATTACCTGCATTCATTAGAAGCACTGGAAGAAATGATTTGGTTGTTTTACACTTCTTCCTACGAAGACTTTTCAAGGTTAAGCCGCTCCACTGTTATTGTTCTCACAACAACTTATTTCTATGATTAAGAATTGATGGAATTTTATTTTTTAGTACTCAGTAGACATAAAGGAAACGCCATTATTGCCTAACAGTGCCGATTCGAGTAAGCTCTTCTATTAAGTAGTAGAACATGAAAAAGAAATCACTATGATGGATTTGATGGGAGGAAATTTTTAGGGTTTCTCTTCTTAATGCACTTACTTCCTTCCTTCCTTTTGCGAACTTAAACTACCGAGTACCACGCCTTCTGATCACACAGAATGCCTAACCAACGAAGTAAATATCACTTCAATCCTATCCTTGAAAGTCACTTTGGATTGATAAATACGTAAATAATCTTCCCTGAAAACACTATATTTGTGTGGTTCTCCGATCCACTAATTTACAAATGAGCGTGGCACCCTTTCCCTTTCAAGGTGTGATTGACAAAGCTGACACCTCTCAACACAGCGGACATACGGAAGGTCTCGTCAACAAACAGGAATGATAAAATACCAGTGTTTTCCTCACCTGGTTCAGTTGCCTTATTTACGCGCAGTGCTCAATGGGACCCAAAATAATGAATTGGCAGCGGATGGTAGTAAAGTGGATCCACTACTCACAGTTGAGTATCAGTGTAGGCCTAATTAGTTTGCCTCGCCACTGACATGCTCGTCCACCATCATTTTCTCTTTACAGTCACGAGCCGAGCTGAGTCTCCCCGGGTTTGACAGCAACCCTCGGTTGGTCTAAACACTCTGCATCGTAGCCTCTGGCGAAAACGTAACCTGCGAATCCGTCACGGCCGTCGACTTAAAGTGAGGGAATATTCTCTGCGCACGTTATGTAACTCGAGCTTGGCTGATTCTAATCTCATGCTTTACTTAGGTCTAAGCGGTTCCAAAGGTCACACCGTTGTTTTAAAATTCTTTTTCCAATCACAAATTATGCGAACGCTTGACCTTTGACCTTTATGTTCAACAAGGTGACGGCTTAATGTTGTCTATTCGCGATGCTCGATGCTATTTAGCATTATATTCGATGATGCAGCGTCCCAAAACTTCCCTGAAGGCGGAAGAGGACATACTGCTCGGGTAGAATATGCATTGTCGAAGTGCTGAAGGGCTTGGGGCTACTGGCATGGTCCGGAGGTCAGAACGCCCAGTACAGGTACAATGGTGGGGCCCCTAAGTGGCCCGCCACTGGAACTGAGAGTGAGACAAACAAAGTATTGCAGCCCCTCTCCAGTGCCAGTCACCTCAATGCGGTCGGTGCTATAAGAAAAACAGCACCCACGAACCAGCCGCACCAGACACCGAAATTCCGTGCAACTGGGAATCTATCTGATTGTAACATCACTGATACCTCTCGACAATTCTACTGGATCTGAAAATTCCTCCTATGTGGGAATTGTATATGGGGGACGAGGAAGTGTGCCCGGCAAGGGCATAATGGCGAAGCCCTCAAGTGGCGCGTTAGAGAAACCGAGCGTGAAACAAATAATTGGAGCATCACAAATAGTGATATTCATGTAAATTATTCAAAAATCTGTATTTATAACTTAAGGCCTGAAAAGTAATACTGAAAATCCATTGAGGGGACCCTAATTATCAGCATGATATAAAGTGTCCCTTTGCCGGAAAGGAGCCCGGATTGAGCATTTGCCTGCCTGACGCAGGGCATCGCTGCAGCACGCCATCAGACGAGTGTGGTTGCTGTCGTCGCTTCTGCACGAACGCATGACAGTGGGTGGACACTTCTCAAACGAAATTTAATTAAATGCTGTTGTTTTAATGCTAACAATGGATACGAGATGACGGTGAGTCAGGTGGCAACCCACCGGAAGCGTGGTTGCCTCGCGTGCCACCAATCGATTGAACACCTCATCCAACTGTCCCGGATTGGTGACAAGGCTTGGGGCTGTGGAACCTACGTGACCAGAGTAAGCCTGGCTGCAGCATGCACAAATGGCGTAGCGTTCTTACAGAAATAATGCGGCATCAAAAGCCTGCTTAACGCCCTAGTGAAATTTGAAACCAAATGTGAAAATCCAACGCTGAGGATGTATCCAAGTTTGAAATAGTTTCTTGGAAGAAAAAGTAGTCTTCCACTCAAAGCGTTGCATCAACTGAGGCCAAAAAGTGACCCATAAATCAGCCACCGGTACTGCTGGTAATAAAATTGTCTGCGAACAAAAGAGTAGACCGATCACAAATCCAATGGGTGTCAAAACAAATCCTCAGAATGAATGAAGTAAATTGTTATAAAATGGCGGAAGCTAAAGCAGCGTCTGCACTTTGCAGCAAAACGCACCACCAACTGATGTGTGATGCGTCAGCATAAGCACGACCCAAACGGGGTCACTACTGAAATAGGCAATAGCGCTTCAACGCGTGTGTGCGCACGCACCGCATGCAAAATAGGGGGCACACGTGCGCACCGATCGATAATGCCTGTACGCTATTAGACCAATGTCAGAGGCATAGCTCTGCGCACGCTACATGAAAGCGCGCCGCTCTGATTGGTGCAGACACGGATGCAAACGCCTGATTGGTTGACTGGCCAGGCGTCTTTCGCGCACGATTGGCGACTTCACGCGCGTGCTAAAATACGTTGGGGCTGTGCGGCATTGAGAAGCAGCTGACTTTTCCGTGGAATGCGTTCGCCTCATAAGTCTACGTATCAATAAGGTTATTAGTGAAATTGCGCACTACAATGGCCGGGGTTCCGGGATGCTCCCTTCCCACTTCTACGGAGGATCTTAGTCCTGAGGAAGTGGCTCTACAAGATGAAATAGCCTCATTAAAGGCCCAGTTGGAGGCTGCACGAAAGGAGGTCGCAGATACGGATTTTTACACAATGACAAAGGAGGTTGTTGAGTTAGGTCGATTGAAGTTCAAATTCCGCAAGACCCTCCGAGGTCATATAGCAAAAGTGGCTTCAGTTAGATGGGCTTCCGATAGTCAACTAATCCTATCTGCAGGGCAGGATGGAAAGCTCATTGTTTGGGATGGTCATACCGCAAACAAAGTGCGCATGATTCCCCTCAAAACTGCGTGGGTGCTGGGATGTGCCATCTCACCCAGTATGCATCAAGTTGTGAGTGGTGGTCTGGATAACCTCATTGCCGTTTTCAGCTTGAATTCGCCCGAAGGTACCCCTGCACAACTCATTCAAGAACTTTCTGGCCACAATGGATATATTTCCAGCTTGGATTATATTGATGAAACAAAATTACTGAGCGCATCTGGTGACAAAACTCTTGGGCTGTGGGACATGGAGAAAGGAGAGTTAGTCTCTACATTCTCCGGACACACAAACGACGTGAACAGTGTGCGCGTATGTCGTACCAACAAAAATCTCGCCGTGTCCGTTTCTTCCGACTACACCTGCCGCACGTGGGACATCAGGTGTGCAAAAAGCACTCAGCTCTTTGAAGGCCACGAGCAAGATGTCAACGGCGTGGACATATTCCCCAGTGGGCAGGCGTTTGCAACCTCATCAGACGACACCTCGTGTCGCTTGTGGGACATCCGCTCCGATCAGGCTGTTGCCGCCTATGTGGACGAGTTTATCCAGTGTGGCAGTACTTGCGTGGCCCTCTCCCGTTCCGGTCGTGTTCTGATAGCCGGCTACGACGACTTCAACTGTCACGTGTGGGATGTGCTCAGGGAAGAGCGGGTTGGCATCATGTCGGCACACGACGCGCGTGTCTCCTCTCTCTCCGTGAATGAGGTGGGAAACGCAATCGTAACGGGCTCCTGGGATTCACTGTGCTATGTTTGGACAGCTAAATGAATTCCCTTGTTAGAAAAATCCCTGCTCCCACTCACCCTCTAGTCTGATTATGTTCTTAAATTACAACTATGGGAAAGTTGATTGCTCCTAGCAAATTTTGGCATTGTTCTCTGCAATTATCACTGCTAAAACTGCAACTAGTATCATTTTCAACAACTACTCCCTTCTATTCTTGATCTGCGGACTCTTGTTCCTCCCGTGGAACGATTTTGCACCATTTCTCTACACCAACACGTACAAACCAGTGTTGCATGAGTAGACAGCGCCAGGCCTACCGCGAAAATCCTCATTTCTCCGTCTCCTTCTTCCTTTCTTCATTAACGCTACATTGGATAGGGTCGTTTCCCTTGGTTTTACTCCCTGCATCGGTACTACTCCCCACTGCCCTACAAACCACCGTCTCCGCGTGAGCTCCTCTTACCCTTCTTTCTTGCCTTTTGCATTAAATCTCATGTCCACATTGTATATTGTGTCAAAGTATAAATTATCACATTTTTTGCCGATGAGAGATGCACTTGTTTTGCTTTATTTTGGCACTGCTTTTTGTCCAATACCATTGCCTAGTTCATTGAGTTCATGCCCTCAGAGTTGTTCACATTCCATGCCTTGACTGTTTTTTGTCGTCAGAAAAGCTCACCTTTGGTTATTCCACACACAACGATTGTGTGACTATATTTTCGAGCTGAATCAGACCCTATTTTGCACACTTCCTGAAACCGAAGCTATGTGAAAATCCAAAAGCACGCCAACACATGTAGTGTGTGTATGTGCATTGCATTATTTTCTTATACTTTTTTATCTGTTTTCTAATCAACCGAAGCATGAGGTTGCCCGAATGGCATTGATTGGCGTACCTTGGTCCACCGTTTTCGAAGACACGTCGGCTAATTAACATACTATCATTACCAAAAAAAATTGCCTGACATGATGTAAGGCTAACAACAAGTTCTAAAGGGCCTGCTTTTTCACCTAATGTAAGGCATGGACATGCGGGTATATGGACGAGAAGTTGCTTGAGTGGTCTGACGCCATGTAGCACCTGGGCCTTTCTCTCTGCAGGCACGGGTGACTCACTAACGGTTTCTGTGTTGCCTCCATTCATCTCGCCCCTTCTACCTTTCGTGTTCTAAAATCAACCAGCGGCCTTTTGGAACTGAATGTGTTGACAGAAACAGGCTTCCTCTGCTAGCAAACTTCTACAAATTTTGTCTGATGCCTAGACACCACCGACATATTTGTGGTAGGAAGTCTGCTAAAGCTGCACCGATACTTCGGGTGAACAGCGGCTGGACTATTTCCTATCCGTTAAGTCTTTCTTTTTTTCATTTTTGAATCCCGATTTGCGTTTTTTCCACCATCTCGTGTTTAACTTTTTTTAGATTAAAATGCCATAAACTGATAAGATATTGGTGGATTTCTGCAAACGCTTTGCTATTTGATTGTTAACCCCGAATGTAAACTGACTCAGTGGATGTAGCTGCACTTACTTTGTCGTTGCCATCTCTATTGTTAAAGGCGTGGCAGATGGCAGGGTCTACAACAAGTCCACCCCGGTAGCTCGCTTCAATTAAGGTGTTGGAGTCGCGTACCTGGATAGTTTCTCGGCCTCAAGGAGCACACAAGTCAATGTCATGGAACGTTTCATAAACCTTTTTTCATCAAAAGACATTCTGCGTCGCATTGTCCGTATTGGTACGTTGTAGCGGCGTTGTCACAATGCACTCCCGTAAACACATCACTACGTCAATCGGAGGTTGGTTCTAACGGGAACCATACACTGATTTGACTAAACCCGTAAACGACACCAATTTTTTGCTCTATATTTATCACCAGTGTGGATTAGAAAGCATTGTTTAAATTCCGATCAAACAGACACTGGAAGTCAGTTCTTATTCTTATACCAGTGCAATTACTCCACAAGTAGTTTTTTTGCTTCTGGTCCAAAAACTATGGTATCAAAGACCTTCAATTTTATTTTTCCTTCCCTTCTACATGAAAATCCAACTCCCATTGTCTATAGAAATCGATTTTAATGCCAACCTGAATTAAGGAAAAATTGACCACTGACGAATTTTCGTCCTGATGAATAAGCACCACTGGTTTGTCCGTTGCTGAATCACCCCAAGTTGGTGTGTTTTTCTACAACCTCGAATTACGTGCTTCCTCCATGGCTGACATCATCGAGTGCAGCAGGCGACTTCCACCTCGTGTTTCTGGTGGTTTCTGCAGTGTAGGTGCAATGAAGTGGATTCTTTTATCCCCTTTCCTGTGGATGAAGCCTTATAATAGTGCTAGCTTCCACTTCAACACCAAAGGCGTAAATCAACCCCATTAAAAATTGTATTTTTTATACCCTTGACTCCTTCCATCTTAATTCGATCAACTATGTTTTGGTCGCTGTTGGAACGCGGCTTTGCCAATTTTGAGAACTGTCAAATGGTATTTTTGCCAACTAGTACCACCCACTTGATCACCAGTCTTGGAATGACTTACCACACTTCAACTAACCTCGTGTAGCATTACCACCACATCATTATGCTTGGTATGTTGCTTATATTCTTAGCAACTTTGAATGGTCACCATGCAAGACTAATACCTTCGAGCTCTTCTGGTCATCTGTCTGCACTGTGTTACCCTAGTGAAAATGCTCATCTTTTTTTTCCTGGTACTCCGTAAAAGAATTAAATTGTTTCCTCTTCTCTTCGGATGCCAGGCATTGAGACAGCCATTTTGCCTAGAAGAAATTGGTTATTTGAGTTGAAACTTAGTCTTTGGTCCTGAATTTTAGAATTAAAGCAAGTTATGCCTTTTTACTGTGAGCTAAATACTTAGATAATAATAAGTGGCTCATTACTTGCAGGTGGAGTTAGCCTCGAGACTAACTGCGATACTGAGGGTAAATCTTTAATGCCTCTATAAGGAGGCAAAGAACCCACACCAATAGTAAACTTTTGTTGCAAACAATTTTGGCAGAGCGATCATAGTTCCCTACACAGTTAGTTCCGATCCTCAGAGTCATTATTTAAAACGGTAATTAGAGCGAAGGGAGCAGGTCTTTTCAGAGCCACAAAAAAGGAGCTTTTAGTGTGTTTAGTGAGTTTAAGGTGGTGCGGCAAATTTATTGTGCTTTGTGGTTACAAAAGCCAAGTCGTCTTTATGTACCATGGAAGCTATGTTTTATCCCAACAAAGAAACAGCATTGGTGGGTATCTTCCACCGTGCATTAGATTAAGCATACCTTTGTGGACGTATCCTCCAGAGTGAGTAGACGGTTAGTATTAAAAGGTTTCTGTGCATCGATAACATACGTACTCAGATTTCCACATAGAAAATGCTCATTGGGACATCATGAATTAAGCTGAAATGCATTTGTCCGAACCCTAGCAGTCACCAACCCACAGCTTAACGAAGGGAAGATTGTTTAAGCGATAAACCACCCGCTTTACTGCCTGATGGGCTCACACTATGCGCTTCTGACGTGCACTGCAAACAGCTCGTCCGTTTCCCGTTGGATGCACCACCCCCTATTCTGACTATTAAATAGGCATCTGACCGATCGCGGCAGCAGATCTGGTGCTCCAACGGCGCTTTGGACGGTGACTTTGGTATCTATTTAGCCTGGTGAGGTAAACTAAGGTCAGTTCACGGGTTTTCGGAGATTGTTTTGGACTAAGCTGGGTGATATGTTGGCGATACATTCTAGTGAAAATATTAGCTGATTAAATTTGTGGCGTATTTTTACTGCGCACTTGTGTGACGTCCCGATTTTCCCTTCTAAGCCCGCACATCACCTATGCGACGGATTAAGAGGAACTGAATTAGAATAGAAAGAAAAAAAACGACAACACAAAGTCTGGGTTATGGCAGTCGCTTTACTCTGGGACTACGAGAGTGAGCGTCTGGGACCACACCTGAGAAGGCTTAACGTAGACACCAAACGTTACGGATAAGTAAGCAGCTGAAAAGTATGTAGACCTCTTCCACTTTTTTTTTCTTTTACATAATTCCACTCCGCACCTGCTCTAATTCCCACGTGTGCTTTGCGACCTGGGATAAACAAGTGAAATAATTATGCGGGTGCTTAAGCAGGTACCGAAATTGGCCCGGATTCGTCGTCAGCTGGAACGGATTCCTCTTCGCCCTTCGAACTCGTGTTGGAATGTGCAGAATAAGCTGAAATAAATCAGGAGTCAAATAAATAGTTCAAACTTCGTGGTAGCTTGCAAATTTTAGATTGATGTGTTGACAAGTGTACCTTTTGTATCCAGCTTGTTTTAGGACTAACTATATTTATCTTCAAGCAATTACGGAAATCAATCACTTCCTTGACAAAAAATTACCTATCCAAATTCCATAATAGGTATGTAAATAGTTTGCACAGGAGGCTGATCCATTTGGGATGCAACCACACACGACTATTTATACATAAACTAAGTTACCCCCCCCCCTAGGGAACAGGTTGGTTGTGGGATGTACCGCTCACAAAGGGTTTAGCTAATTAGATAACTTTTATTAGTATTCTCACTCCCCTCTGTGGATGGCTTCACACCTCTACAGAATTACAGCCGACTTGATTGCCCACTTTTTTATGCAACACATAAGGCTATATTTGATTGAAAGCCCATCTGAGGGGGATTGTGAGCCTAACTTAGTCAGTCACACTGTCCGACAAGTTTGCACGCAACATTCTGCCACTGTAGTGACAGCGGATGGTAAAGTTGCCAGGCTTGAGGCAAGAATTGTCCGTTCAATTTGAGGGGGGAGTATGGCCATTGGATGGGAATCAAGTGATGCAATACAGCAAGACGACAAAATATTCTGGTTTTTTATGGACGAGAGAAATGTGGAAAGGAATATTGCGGAGGGAAAAGGGGCTTTTGTGTTTACCCTTAAAGTATAATTGTTTGGGTGCAAGCTAGCAATCCGTATAAAGTTAGTAGTTGGGTCACTTATTTCCAAATTTTTCCCCCACTAGGGTGAAGTTACTTGCAGGAGGCGATGATGATATTACCAATTTGCCCAGTTAGTTTGCAGTTTTCGCCCATCTTTCCGGTTTTAAAATTAGTGGAAGTCGAAACGTAGAAGCCACATTGGTCGAAGTCGTCGAGCACTACCCCATGAATAGCTGCCTCACACCGACGAGTATGGAGGTTTAAACTGGTTTACCGCCAGTGGAAGTGAATCGAACATTTTCCCTTGACATTTCAGGAGACGAATAATAATTGCAGAATGAAACCTGCAAAGTCCAAAAACAGTGAGTAGTAATTAAACTTATGTAAGTCCTTTCAGTGGTTGGTAGCGGACTAGCAATTTACCTGAAGAGTTCGGAAAGTGGTGAACAAGGTGGCATCAATTTTCGAGTCGCTATGAGGGAATACTAGTGATACAGTGGCAGACACAAAATCAGGGGAACTGGATCACGATGGGGAGTGATTACTCCCATCGAGTATGAAGGAGGAACTAATCATAGAGCCTGGAAGTATGAGCGTAGAACACCCAGCAGACCAGAGTACTCCAGAGGGAATATACTGAACACTTGGTTTTTTGTAGGCATGCTAATACCCTTAATTTCAACTGATTCAAATAACTGAACATAGGCAAACTAATCCTTCCTAAAAAAACCAAGCGCGCCTTAGCATTGCTAGTCTTTCATTGTTTGCAATGGACAAATTCTACATCTCTTTTCAGCCACTTTTGACTTCAATTCAGCATTTTGCTTCGAAATAAATATCTAGGAAACTCGATTATTTGTAGAACTTTGCTGCTATTTTCAGACTATTTTCCGGCTCAATGGTTGTTCCGCAAATATTATACAAGTTGGGAAAAAAATCTGCACTCTTTTTCTATTCGATAGATTAAACCACATGTTTGTTTTGGTTAATCTCCTTCATTAAAATAGATTAGAAAACCGAGTTCTTCACCTAACTTTTCAGCAATCTATTTCCAACATCGATGGTACTATTAAACTTCAGATTGATAACTTGCAAACTCCATCGTGCAAAACGCTTTCACATATGATAACATTGAGTTACAATGTCAAACACGATGAAATATGGCATATTTTACGAGGAAATGCGGTGCAGGTGACCTGGTAATTGTATTCGGACAAAACGCAAACCGCGATCACATGGAACAGATGTCCCAGGTTAACCAAACGCGGGCCAGAGCACGACTGATAAGCGCGTTACACTAAATGTAGAATGCGGCACTTCACCCACTGCGCACATCACTGGAAGTAGCGTCAGGAGCGGTAGAGAAACAAATGAGCTTCCACACATTCTCTCATTTTTCCCTTGGTCACGCTCCATAGAGTTGAGTCCGGCAGGTGGTTTCGTCAAAATTTAGAGGCGTAAAGTCCAACTTTTGGCAGCCACCGACCAACCCAGAAAGAACAACTCATTGTAATTTTTATCGGTCAAGCCACCTCCCGCCGCTTGAGACATCTCATGAACAATGCTTACTTAAACAGCATAAGCAGCAATGGCATAGCAACGCAGAGCAGTGATTGAAACTAAACGGTTTATTCCACTCTGATTAGGTGGAGGGGAGGAATGAAGGCAACTGACACAACTTTGACACGTGAAGAACGCATAGGTTACTCAACAAAATCTATTTCAATAACACAAAGCTCAGATAAATACACAAACCTCACTACTTAGCAATACCCAGTTCCGGGAGCTAGTAAAATAAAAACCTATACAGATAATTTAAAGTTATAATCATCAATGATCGCCCAGTTCCATGCCGCCGATATCCAACTCTTCGTCATTGTAGATGTTCTCAGCCTAGAAAACAGACACCACCGATGTTAACGGACCTAAGGAGAGACCTACCATTTGCCAGATTTGAAGGATATTGTCCTCTGAGACGGAACAGATGACCCAAGGTTCGTTGATGTTCCATGTGAAGTCAGAGATCTTGGCGGTATGACCTGCGTGGATGAAGAGTAGTTCAGGAGGGCCATCTTCGGCATCCTCAGTGGTTTGATCAACACCGATTTTGCTCAGGTCCCAAATGTGCAGTCGTCGATCCGTGCCGGATGAGGCCAGGATTGTCTCGTTATGTGGCGACCATTGAACCTAAAGAAGAGCAACACACGCGGACGGTTTGCAACGTAGTTTCAATGCAAGATCTCATCACATCTCGACGCCGAACTGCTTTACGCGACCGACAATAAACAAGAAATCTGTCGACAGCGAATATTCAAAATAAACACTGCTTTGGTCTCAAGTGCATCATGCATCACCCTAACAACAAAGAAGAATCACCTGGAAGATTTCATCCCGATGTGATTCGAAGGAATGTAGTTTGAGGCGCAGATTTCGGAGATCCCACAAGGCAACAGTCTAAAGAGTATGGAGATTCCACCTTGAAAATGCCACTAGATACGAATAGTAAATATATGAATAGCGAATAAACTCATATAAGACCATGCCTTGTCAGCACTACCAGTAGCGAGTATGAACTCTGAGAATGGATTGAAAGCCAGACAGTTGACTTCAGCAGTATGCGCGTCGACCTGATGCTGAGCTTTGTTTCTTGAGGAACTGCGGGTGTCCCAGATCATCAACTTATTGTCATCTGCAACGGAGCCGAAAATGTGGCCATGCATGAGATGCCAAGCCACATCCTCAACCACCGAATGGTGACCGGTGAAAATGGCCATGGCGTCAAGGCAACGACCGTTTAGTGGTGATCCCGAAATGTCCCACAGACAAATAGTCTGGTCATCGGACGCTGAGAGTAGATGCCCACTGTGAGTCGCATTCCAGGACAGGCCATACCCCTCCTTTTGATGGCCCTGAGTAACAATGTGCTTGAAGTGCACTATTTCGTACCTTTAACCGGAGATCAGGCTGGGAACCAAGTTCCGAAGAGGGTCGAACAGGGTGATTTGCATAATCGAAAACAAGTACATCTCCGCTTGGCGTCTTCGTTGCAATAATATCCGGATTTTGAGGCATGTAACGAGCACGATTCACTTCGCCTTCATGATTGATTTTCATGGTGATTTCTAGCTTTCCTGATGGAAAATAAAATCCGCCGAAATTCCCCTTCTCGCTCTCATAGGTACTAGCATCGAATTCGGCAGTGTCATTAGGAAGGTGAACTGTGGCAATGAGTAGGTGATTCTGCTCATCTGATGTGTGAGTACCAAGAATAAGGCGATGTATCGAGTAGTCCTCATCAGTTCTAATCAATGAATGACAAAAAGTGTACATACGTCTCAACTACAGGAAGCCACTGGGCCGATAAACTTGGCCATTCCAAAGCATGAGACATTAGCATGTCATAGAGAAATGGTGTATTCCGCTTCCATATTTTATATTCCTCATTAATAACACGCTCCTCTATTATATCTTCCGACTCAGAAAGATTCATTGATTGCTAGAAGGGATGAATTTTCCAAGAGGCACAAACCATCATCCTGCCCGCCACCTAGATAATAAGTTCAAAATTTGTGGGTGCAAACTGATAAATCAAAACAAGCAATGTCGAGTCACAAAAATTTAAATTTTGTCAAACGATATCTTACTTATCTTTGCAAATAGATCGAGCTCTTTGCTTTAATAGCAGATGGATGAATGGCCACGAAGATTGAGCAGGAGAATCTGCATCTTATTAAAATGTATTGAAGACAATGAACAACTAAACAATGATTTATTTTACCTGAATGCTAAGTATTGCATTTGGTTTTGAGGTTTTCAACTTCATACTGTCAGATTTGGCTTTTTGCATTCAGTTTTGAACAACGTTATAATTGTGGGGTATATTGGCCAGTCATAAAAATATTGCACCAAAGAGAAGATATTAAAATAGACTATTGTGCTTTTTGCTTGTTTTTGGAAATGGGGTGTAAAATTAAGTGGGTGAGTTTTCGTTGGGCTTGGGCAAGACCTTGTGTGCAGGGACTGCATTTGTACTTCGTTGCCGCAAGTCAGGGCGGGTCTTCTTGCTGTTTTGTCATGTGTTAGGGTCGGCTGGGGTTTTGCACATAGTGTTAGGAAGTAAGTAAAACCCAAGATCTGATATTTATGAAGGAGTGTAGTGAAAATGCATATCTACCGATTCGCATGATAAATTCAGTGTTGGTTGAATTTCATCCAGTTAATTGTTATGCGCGGTGCACAACTGCTTTAAATCTGGCTGGGTTTATAATGTTGGGTTAATCATAACGTGTACATCTTCTTCAGCAATGCGTTATTTTCAAAATCCCTACGTTGGACCGCATGGTGAGGTTCCCAGTAGCACCCCACTTCCCTCCGTTGATGACTTCGCGCAAATGGCCTCAGATATGGTGAAAGATTGCTTCCAGGTAGGCCATTATTGAGTTCTTTGCATTCTTAGAGAACATCGGGGGATGTATTTGATTTTGGACTTTTTTCTCTGACCGAAGTTTAGCCCCTGGCGTCATCTTCACTGGATGTAATTGATTTCATATGTATTTGAGTGCTACTGGGGGCATAAATAGTTGTGATGTTAAATGTAATTCGAAGACAGATTTTACTAGGGCATTTTTGAATCTGTTTATTTGAATTCACCGTTGTCTTTGTGTCTTGTTGCCGCTTGTGTATTCTTTTGCATTCCAAACTCTACTTAGCTTTCTCTGTCTTTTCCATACCGTTATCGTCGACTATGACGGTTCTTTTCGAGGAACACACCCACTCAATTGAAGCAAGAAACTGGAAATTCTTTACGGGCATCATCAATTTTTTAAGAGAAGTAAGTGTTAAAAACCTTCTTCCTTCAGGTGTCATGCCGGAAAATTTCAATTCATGATGGGGGCCTCTATGTCGGAGGCATCGGTGTGGCCTGGGCTGCCCTTCGTGTAATGCAGCGGCTAGGGGAAAAGGGCTTCGAAGCCTTCCTTCCGCAAGTTCGCAAGTACATTGAAGGAATTGTCAATAAGGCGGCACAGGACGCACCACGCGATACTGAGGAACGCCTTTCCTTCCTCCTCGGTATGCCCGGCGTGTGGCTTACTGCAGCCTACCTCTATCAAGTGTGTGGCAAATAATGCTACTAGTGCTACTGAAATGTGATTAAGTGGGCAAGTTATTCTTCTTGTAGTTATCTGGAGAGGTCGTTGAACGAGATCGTTTTTTGGGACTATATGCGCAACTTGCGCCGGTATTCGCCTCTCTTCAGCCAGGAAACACCAAAGTCATATTCTCTCAAGGCTCTGATGAGTTTTTTATCGGTCGCGCGGGCTATTTGTGCGGCTTGCATGAACTCCGCAAAGTTACGTCCGAGGTGTGTACAGTGTCGGTTTTTGGAGCTCCTTCTTCAGGCAGCTATAATAATCCGCTACTGCTAATCCAGACCTCATGGTTTTTTGGCGTTTAATTTTTATCTTCGATTGTTTAGGCTGAGTGAGTTCATTTTAGACCTGTTTTTCTAGTAGTGTCACAAGTGTGGTTCCTGACGCCTTATCTTCCTCAAAAATTGGAACGCATTTAACCACTGCGAATTTCATGGGCGTGTTCAGTTAAAAACATCAGCTACTGCTCTTTTATGACTTCAGTGTAAATGCTTGAAAATTTCAATCATCTGCCTGTTAATATCTATTTTGTTGGTGGGTTAAACTGTTATCATGGTATAATGATGTGCATCAGTTGCTACCTATCAAAAGGGGGGGGGCACAACTTTTGCACGAAGGGCAACTAAAATAAACGAAATCAGATGCTAATTTAGAACTGCGCCTCCACCCACGAGCGAAAAACTGGAAACCGCCCAGTCTTGGCCCTGCTACTCTGATTCGTTCCCGTTTACCTTTCTCTCAAAAAGCATCATAATGACTACCCCTTCTTTACGGTAAATGACTCACCACACTGTCTATGGGATTGCGATTCTGCGGTGAAGTGTTAAACATTCGAGGAGGACTGTTAATTATGTTACATTGGTGTGCGCATGTACCATTTATCAGCATTGACTCATGCTTTCTTACACGAAAATAAAGGCGAGACTGCACTTTTCAGGCTGTTGTGTCAGATGAGACAATTTTTGCCATCTGCGATGCTATCATCGACTCGGGCAGGGCCTACGCCAAGCGGCATTACTCACAGTGCCCGCTCATGTTCGCCTACCACGGGACTGAGTACCTTGGTAAGATTTACTTCGGCGTCTTTTTGCCATGGGGGAGTTGTTCGTAGTTGAACCTTTGCCATGCACCTAACATTTTCTGTGAACGGTTGTGTATGACGAGTTTGGGCAAAGTAACACGAAATCCCACGCTGGAGAGGAAACGAAAAAGGCCCGTATTTTGCCTACCCATTGTGACACCTCTGTCGGCCGCTGCCAAAGATTACCTTCCGAAAGCTGATAGAGCCGACGCGTTTTAGATAGAGAGGATTTAGTTCTTTTAATGCTCCTTTCTTCTGCCCACGAGAAGTTGTCACTTAATCTTCATACCTTCGTACGGAGGCAATCTCGTCTTCAAGTTACCTTTTAAACCACTCAAGCGCACCTTTCGAACAACATTAAGGGCCCTTTTATTTGCTTTAGATGATTGTAAATATCCAAACCTTTATCACTTCCTTTGTGTCTGTGTGCTCAGACAGATGCCTACTTCTTCTAAAGGCCTTTTTCAAGTTCAAAAATAAAAGGTATAAAACAACAATGGGCGAATTAAAACATTAGGCATGCAATTAAACACTCAGATTGCACTGATTATTATACCGCCTGTACATTTTGGAGAGCATAAAAGAAGACTAGTAGGTATATCTTCCAACGACCTAGTGATGTGTTGTAGGGGCGGCGCATGGACTGGCAGGCATTCTCTTCGCCTTGCTGCTCTTCCCTCAATACTTACAGACTCACAAAGCGGCCGCGGAGGCGGTGCGGGCGGCTGTAGACTACTTGATTGCAGTTACTCCGCCAGACACTGGCAACCTGCCTGTGGCCACCGACGAGCTACCGCCGCATCGCCGTTCGGCTTCCGACGAACTCGTCCATTGGTGCCACGGTGATGCTGGTCAGTCACTCTTCTCTCTTTACCGGCTTATTAAATTCTTAGGCATCTTATGCGACCAACCCTGAGTGGTGGTCTGTGTTTGTGGTCATTTGACGCTCTTTTGGGCGACCCATACGACCCCTGAGCTTCTACATTATGCTCAGGTTTCCGAATTTTATCCCTCCCTTTCTCGACTAAACTCTTGTCAAGGTTTGAATCAAGCAACGCTTCATGATCATACAAGGTCAATAAGCATGCTTCATTTGCCCTATACGACATTGGATCAGATTTCCGGCATCTCTAAATGCTCTTCTAGTCTACTGAATTGTCTGCTCATGTAGCGTTGTTGTTTGAATAACTAAAGGATTTCCGTTGTATGTGATTAGTAGCTTGAACCGAGAATCCAGCTGAATTGAGTTTGGTTGTCTGTAACGCGCACAATAATAAGGTATGCTTTCTTCAAAAGTTGCAATACACTAGCTTTTTTTGTCTCGAACATTACTTCGCCTTGTGAACAAATAAGTACGTTTCATGTGCTTACGAATTACTTTTTCAAACGTCATGGTTCCATTTTTCAACTCATTTGCGTGAATGACCCAAACTTTAACACTTTTGGCAACTGTATAGCTTGCAGGATAAGGCGAGATCGTGACGTTGTGTGTACAAAATCCCAACTTTCGGATCTTCCTCCTTTACGTTGAATGATGGACGTGACGTCACCGTTAAATGAATGATGACTTATTGGTTAAATTTCTGGCCGTAATTACCCCCCTAATGCTGAAGTTGTGGGCGGGGTAAAAAGTCCCAGTCTGCAATTGGTATGATTGCTCTCCAACTTTATCCCCTTCTTTATGCTTTGCGAGTCTGAATGCTTGTCTATGCCGAGGAATGTTGCTGTCGTGAGGAAGGGACCATCAGTTTACCTGGTAATGGAAATTAATCCCGAAAAATGTGTTTATTTGTCAGGCATGATAAATCCATCCAAGGTCCAAGATCTGTTGCATACCTCAAGTTCATTGTGCTGAAACGCCACTACAAATTCGATCCGTCGGTTAACAGATGAAGTACTACTACGTAAATTGGAATGATTTAACTAACCTGAATGCGTTTATTTTCATTCGTATGGAGTTAAGCAGCTTTTTTGCACCTTCTCCCCTCTCCCTACTCTCATGATTTTAAAATGCAAATTTGGTTGGAGTGGGCTCCCCTTCATTACTTGCAAATGGTCGAAATTGTACTTATTCGCTTGATGTGTATTTTGTTACCTATCTATTACTTTATCCGTTTGAGGTGAGGTTTATGGATAGCTTTTATGCATCGTACCCGTCCTTAATTCTGTACCGTCTATACTGTCGAAAAGAACTGGCAGCCGTTGACCTTGAACACTCGAACAGTGAGTCGTTGTATTTTAAAGGGCAGGACATCTTTCAAATGTCACTGGGATGGTGGGCTTGATTCGCACCAGCTATAGCCAAATTTTCCCACAGTACAGCGTTGGTAGTGTAGCGTTTTTGTTCCCATCCTTGGGTTCGCGATAATTGAAGAAAGCTGGTAACATAAATTTAATTTTTCCCGAATTTGGTGTCGCACCTTTATTCTGTCTTTTCAAACGTGATTTACTTGACTGCTGATTTGTTTTGGGAGTAAGGGGTAGATTTTTGCTTTGCCATTCGCAATTCAATTTCGGTAAATGTCTCGTTAATTTCTGAGGAAAAACTAACATCTTTAAATGGAATACTCCATATATTTTAACAAAAAGCTCAAATTACTAGATATGATCTTATCATCTAGTGCCTCTTGAAATATCTCCATGGTTTCCGGTGTTAGTTCTCTTGAAAAAAATTGGAGAAATAGCTTCTTTTCTCCGCTTTGTTAAGCTCGATAAGTTTGAAATTTGTTTTCGGGAACAGAGGCTTAAGAAGGTAGCTAGTAGGAACAAACCGATCATTTTTGTGAAATTAAAAACAGTTTTCGAGTTCCATGCAGCGCTCTCAAACCCTTTTAAGACGAAAGAAGACGCAGTAATCGGGTGGAATATATTGTTGACCTACAGAAGGGATTGAGGCTACTGTCATGGCCTTAAGGCTTGTTTATCTAGCGAAGGTACAATGGTGGAGTCCTTAAGTGGTCCCTCTTACCAAAACCGAGAGTTAAACAAACAACCAACGTATCACATAGCCCCCTCCTCTTTTGAGCGCCGTCCCTGGCGCTCTCCGTGGTCATCTCGCATCGGCCATCACACCGTTATCGGTGCTGTAAGGAAACATCCGCGAAGTAATTGTACAAGTCATCGAATTTGGATACAACTGAGGCGATGCTTGACCGCAACATCACTGATCTCTCTTGTCAATTCTACCGGGTCTGGGGTTTCTTCCTGTATTGGTACTGTATTGGGGGACGGGGGAATGTGCTGGCCATCATTCTTCTCCATCGCTAGTCATTGGAACGCTGGCTTCAATTCCGAGTCAAATAACAAAGCATAGAATGTAACATAATTCTGTGGGCATAGGGTTTCGCGTCTGTTCCTCTCCGCCACTTTTTTCTCACTTCAGAGCTGCTCAGCCATATCTGTCTGAGCTCTATCCATCTGGTAGACAGGTGCAGGAGGTATCGCGTATTCACCTTATCGACATCCTCATACAGGTGCGGTCAACAGCTCCGTAATTAATTTCTTCAGATGGTTCACGGCTGATATCACTTTAAATGTTAATAGCTTTCCTGTTGATCATGTGACTGGGGTAGTTGCCGAAGGTGGACGTCATTTTTAGCACTTCTGTTAGGCGTCGTCACAGATTATCCTATCTGCAGCATACGCACCTCTTCCGTACGTTAAGATTTATCACCTATTGATTGAAATCAGGATAGATACCCCTTAAGACCGGATTTGCTTTCCGCTTCTACCAATGTAGCGCCCCGAGATTTCCCTGAAGGCAAAAGAAACCACAATACCTGGGCAGAATATGTATTGCTGACGTATGGAAGGGCTTGGGGTTGCTGGCATGATCTGGATGCCAGCCCAAAGTGGCCCCTTCACCAAAGTCGAGAGTTTAACAAGCATGCAACGAATTACACTTCACCGGTCCGCTTGTTCGTGATTACTCGGCTTTTTTCAAGTGCTTTTTTTCACGATTTTAAAATCATTGAAACTCAAAACATCCAAATTGTATCTTGAAATAGATGCGTTGGGGGCTCCAATACTCCATTTATCAACCTCACCGCTTTGTTTTTTATCCAGCTCATTAAATTTTACTCTGACACCCACGAGTACAGATGCACTAGGTGGACACTTAACTGGAGACTCACGTGAATTTCAGAAAAGGAGTTTACTAGGTAACAAGTTAATTAGTCCCGTTTTGCTTTATTTGCATTCACAGGAAGGTAGTTAAGGGAGGTAGCGAAGGCAAGCATGTGTATTCTTCGCATGGTGACTGTTTCTTTTCCTGAAAGTTGTCTGCTGTTGGTGCTGACGCAAAATCTTCCTCTCATAGTGGTGTCAAGGCTCTCAAATTTCCATGTTGTTCGTGCTGACATAACAATAGTCAAAATTGGGCGAAGTTCTCCCTTGACATAATAATGCGGAAAAAAAAACAACAAAATGAAGGTGTTTTATTGAGACCGAGATTGTACATGTATGTCCAAATTTTCGCAAAACAGTTGTGATGATTACTTGAATAATTTACCCAAGGAGTGTTACGTGCGTAGCCTTTATTTATGGGAATTATAGTTCTTCGGTTGTCTCGGTCCCGACTTCTGTAGCCTCTAGTTTGAAATAGTCCCACATATTGCGAGTAAGCTGCTTTTCTGGGAGGAGTATAGTTGAATTAGTGAGGTGGATCTGGCAGTCTTAGGAAAGTTCAGGGGCTGCACTTTCCAGGATCAGTGCGTCTCTTTGAGGAAAACATGTGTTAAGTGCTTAAAACAGAGACAAAAGATACATTTCCTATGCTCGCCAAATGTCACCAGGAAATTATCAATCCTGGGACATCCATTGTGAATATGGATTAGCTCATTCACCGAGTGCGTGCAATTTCGGAGATGCTTTTGAAGCGGAAGTCGGTGGAAATTCGGTGAGTGGACTCAGCATGTTTTCAAACAAACATAACGTAGGTGCCGTTTCTCGTGCACAGGTGCAAGCGGATGTGGAAGATCAACGACTTTCCATGTTTTCCACATCACATCTTCCCAGATTTTTAATTCTAATTTAAGATAAGATAGAAATAATCTCCCGTTTGCTTTGATCACACTGTACGCGGATGATGCTGTCAATTTGTTAACTTCCTTACAGTTTTTCTTTCCACTCGAACCTAAATGCATAACTTTATTTTTCATTTGAACCATTCTCAATCTCGGATTATTTTGTAAATAATCGACATTACTTTTCTTGCGATTGATTTCCCTATTTTGGAATAGACTACGTCTCCATAGGATCTTGATCGAAGCCAAACTGAACTCCACTGGTAAGTGGGTCTAATCTTTCGTTTTCAGGTGCAGTTAACTGCCGCGCCCCGGTTATATAAAAGACAGGAAGAATCTTATTGAGACGGTTTAAGTGGCCCTTCAGATCTGCAAGCGTAATTTGAACCAGGTTGTGACTACCACTCTTTTTGTTTCTTCAGGTGTGGTGTATGTTTACGCAAGGGCATATGTTTTATGGAAGGACGAGAAGTACCTTCGCGAAGTTGTCAGATGCGCGGACGTCGCTTGGCACAAGGGCCTACTAAAGAAGGGTCCAGGTGGGTCATTATTTAACTTATCATGACTGAATTAACTACTCTTAGAGGTTTAAGTCGAATGGGAATTTTTCCTCCCAATCTGTGTCCCATGGCTTTGGGTGCGGAGCCAAAGTCACTTAGACGTGCTCTTTGTGCCTAGTGTTCACAGAATGCTCAGAACCTCGACCCATAAGTGCGTATGTGAGCTCACTGAACTTCCGTTCGCGGCCACTCTTCACTCGACCTCCGCTGAGTATCCCAGTTGTAAGACAGTGTGGTTCAGTTTATCTTGCAAGTGCCATCTGTTGGCAAGGATGAGGAGGTCTTGAAAAAAGGAAAATTACCTGATGTGTACATGTGTGTGTCGGTTAGCCCAAACGAAGGCCATTTTCTGGCGAACGAAGGAAGCGGGGAAAAGGCGCACCCAACACGCAATGAAGGTGGGCTTTTTCGATGGTACGTGGGAAAAAAAACGGCATTTACTTGTACGCGTGTCAGTTCCGAGGACGCAAATGCTAAGCATGAAATCATGAGGGAAGGGAAATGATGAGTGAGTCGCAACGACAGTACTTTCGTACCGCAAAAAAAATGTCAAGTTAAATTATGAACGCTCGGGATGACTCACGGCCCTCTGCCCACTTTATCCCGTATCCAGTAGGGTGCAAAGCGTCGCGCAAGTCCCTGATTCGGGAAAGTCAGCTATTTTGGCCTTTTAAAAACTGGCATTATTTCTTATATTGCTGCGAATTTGACAGTTGCATGCCTGGACCATGTGGAGCATTTTTAGGCTTCATGACTGTAGCGTAGTGTGATGTTTGCATACAGTCTCCATTTAGCTGTCCAGGGAGTGGTGAGGCATACTTTGCTGCAACCCTCATGTGATCCCCCCAAAAAGTACACTTGGTCACGAAATAGCGCTTTGTCGTCACCCACTAATCGTAAGGAAGCGATAAATACCAACCCAACAAGTGTAAGCTAATAAACCGATTTCTGCATTTTTTCGTCTCTATCTCCATCAAATTCGGCCCTGAGACTGTGGTGATCTCATCGCTCCTCCTCCCTCCTACAGGTATCGTTAAGGTAAAACATAGCGTCTGTCCAACCTTTCATCCACGTCTAGCAATAGTTCGTAACAGTGTCCTTTTAGTTTTCTTTGATGAATAGGTGCTTTTTGTAAATTTTAGCCGTATTGGTTTTGGGTTATGCACTAAGCTTCCTGGAAATGTCATCACTGGGCAGATTTCAGCCATTTGCTTTGAGTGATTTGCCTATAAGACAATCGGAATTGTCGTGGAACAGCTTGAAAAGTAACATTTTGAAAAACATTTTTGTGAGAACCACAAGTAAATCATTTGTTTGCTCTTCTGACATTCCAATTGCTGAGGCATGGCTATACCAGCCAACCGATAAGCCACCTGGTATGAGTGGCAGAAAAAGTAAGGAGGGCAAATTCATTTGATTCAAAAGGAGGTTTTGCTTTTTACTAACGGGAGGACTATTCTCTAGATGGGGCTGTGTTCCTATGTTGAAGCGACAGAAAGCGAATTGTAATTGATGAAAAATGTCATCCTGTCCAAGCATTCTTGCACTTCCCTCTGGAATGCGGTTGCATTAATGAGGTCTGCCTTCGTTCTTTCGAGTAACATTTTTTTACCTTATTTGGTGTTTGTTTAACATGAAATTAATGTAATTCCTGGGAGCTGTTCAAGTGTGTTCAGTTGCATGAGAAGCTAATGTGGCCTTCGAGTTATTTTCAAAGGGATTATGTGCCATGCGATCAACAGGCAGCCTTAAACTAGACAAACAAGGACTAGAGGACTGCTAGTGTTCCTCATTGCCACCAACGTAGTAAGGTGGATAGGATCAGATAATGAAATGTATTGTGATTGAATGGATGAATGAATGACCATCTCAATCATGGCCATGTGTGGGCTGGCAGGCCTGTGTCATGGCGTGGCGGGCAGCGGGTACACGCAGTTGGCGGCTCTGCGTGTAACGGGGGAGCAGCGTTACGCGGAGCGGGCGCGCGCCTGCGCTGCTTTCCTCCACTCCGAGGTCTTCCTCCGGGAAGCCCGTCGGCCCGACAATCCTGCCTCTCTCTTCGAGGGCCGCGCCGGCACCTCCCTCTTCCTCGCCGACCTCACTCATCCCGAGCTTGCTGCCTTCCCCTTCATGGACCCCTTTGAGTGCGCATGAACCTCTCCCCCTCTCTTCTCGTTTCCCTCTTTCTGTTGTATTGAATATTTGCCTGTTACTGTCTCACAATTTTTATTTGAAGCCATCAAATGTTTGGGATTCTTGTTTTTCCTTTTTTTGTTCTCGTTTTCATTGTCAATAAGTGTTAGCTTACTACTGCCTTTCTTATACAGCTTTCCACTTGGAATTAATGGCTTTTTTCAGTGGATGAGTTAATTTATGCTCTTTTCTTGTCGTTTGCTTACTAGTTTCTCTTGAGCTCATCTTTTTGAACTCATTAGGCAATTTGGACTTTGAGAGCCCTTTTGGCTTATTCAGGCGGATGAATTACTCTCAGCACAACACAACACAAGTGTGTTTTGGGAATTTGCACATGCGAAGGAGTGACCCTTGCATGTGTTACTTTTTGTGTGCTCACTTTCGTCGAAACCAGGTTATGCCTTGACTCAATGTTGACTGGTGGAAATCGGAGATCTGGGATTTGTCGCAGCCTTTCTGGATGATCCCGTTATATTTTGATGAAACCCTAATTCCTTTGCTTACCAGAAATAATACCCATCAATACATAAACTAAGGCCTGTGTCGGAAGTGTATCAACGAAAATTGCTTTTTGGACGGGAACTGAGTGGACGTGGTACTGTGTGCGCTCCTTCAATCGGGGATGTGGTTTTACACGAAGCAGTTCTTATCCAACTATTTATCGCGTAATTATCCGTCCGGAGTGGGTTCTGTTATTGTTTTGTCAATCAGTCTGGCTTGTCGCCGGTGCCGCCCCCACTTGTCTTGTTTTGTGTCTTCAGACATTCGGCCAATGGGAGTGAACGTATACATAATAATCTGCTGAACAATCGACTCCCCTCCTATGATTTATTTTATCTGTTTACGAATGGCAAACTTACACCGAGAGAAAGGATACCCTCAAACTGCTAAACGGATGTTATGGTAGAGGTGGTGAGACCAAAAAAATAACCAGAGAACGTGAACCCCTCCGGTATTCGTGATGGTGCATTCCGATTTGACAGCAACATGACCGCTTTAGCTTTTTCATAGTGGTAGTAAACAAATTGTGTCCTAGTTCTGTGTTCGCATACCATGAAGTTCGTAAGGATGATTCATGGCCCTGCGTTTACCGGTTTTTTTTCAGATCTGGGCTCGAAATTCTATCTTTTCGCCAGTACAGTATGCTTCTTCCCTTGGACTTGCTAGGAATTCACCTATAGTGTGAAAATCAAAAAGATGCGTTGGTGAGAAAGGTCACCGTATACTATTTGATCAACGGATTATTAACAGAATGAAACGGATGTTCACCATGACACGTGGTGCCAGTTTTGTAGTAGGAATTGCTATTCATTGTCAGGCACATCGCTACCACCTCCATTTATTACTTGCTTCCAACTCATTTCTCTCCATTTAGCTTGGAGCTTTCTGGCATTGCTTTTAATTTTTTTAAGCGCGTGTGAAATGCGTTGAGTGATGAGTCACACCAACTTGTTCCATTCACCATGGCGCAGGTCAAGTGTATTCACGACTAGCCGACTTCATGTGCTTGACCCAGCAAGTTCTTCGCAGATCGCCATTTTTAGGGGGCAAACCATAAATTCTCCGACCTCGACTTTCGCCTTTATTCTCGGATCTGTTTTTTTTCCTCTCAAGAAGGTTTTGTCTCGAAGGTGAATTAGTGTGTTCCTCCAGCGCCAGCGTGAAGTTGATGATTTCTTGGACGCGAGGATTTGTGCAGCATTTCTTTCCCATAAATCAGCAGCGCAATAGTGTAGCCTCTGCTTGTAAGCATGGTCTTATCGCGAAAAGAAGTGGTTGGATATGTGGTTTTAGGGGTTCTCCCCTATCTGACAATGGCACTTGCCCCATTTGAGGGGAATTTCATTCGATTTTAGCCCTGTGCGTCGCTTAAATTGTCCTCTTCAAAACACACAGTATAGGACCCTAAGTGGTAGTTCTCCCTACTGTCACCAACTTCATGGATTGACCCTTCCATTGTCGTCGTGTTTGCCGCTACCTGAGGCCATCACGTGGGGCATTCGATCACCTCCCCCATCGGCGAATGCAGGTAAACATTTTGGTCCGCCCTGTCGTTAACTTTGACCATCAATACAGAGAAAGCTACTAAATTTGCACCAAAAAAGGCAGATACAGAAAAATTGATCGTTATCTATCTAGATGCATTCTTTACATAGGGAATCGTTTTTGTCTCGTTCAGACGCTAGTCGTCTGACCCTCCCCTGTTTACTTTTTTTATGCCGATTATGTCTGGCAGCATTTGTAGCGCAATTCCCCGTGCAGGCTTGAGGGTAAATGGCGAATCGCTTAAATAATTTTAAACCAGGACTGCATTCTGCCAGATATGTTTAAGTACGAAGGGGATGATGGCTGAAAGTATGTGTGCATCTCTTAGGCCTTTTGACCAGACGTCAGCAAACCCAGGTCCCTTTAGGTTTTGCCTCTTAGTTCTCACAGCGTTTGGTGATTTTCAGTACGAAGCATGATGTGACCCATCATCGTAAGTGGCAGGGAGGAAGCCTTCTAAATAATACCGTTTCGTTAAGTTAATGTCTTCAAATAGAATTGTTTGTGAGGAAGGCCATTACTGGAGATTGATGTCTCCCCCTGCTGAAGTGGCAGCTCTGGCTGTGGTACTATCTTCAAGGTGGGAGATTTACTTGGCGATGGTTGGTGAGTCGAGTTTTTCAATCATTTGTGACAGCCCATTTGAACATTTCAGTCTTTGCAAACCGCATTGCAAGCTATCAAAATGGATTCCTTAGCATTGATGGCAGTGAATTTGAATAGTGGGAGTCATTACATAGTGATTACCTGGGTGGCACAAATCTGACGCAATTCTCCATCATGGTGATTTCAATTGCACATTTGATAATAATTTCTTTTCGTAGTTTTGCTTTCTCCCATGTGTAACAGAGACTCATTAAGAAAATCTAACATTGATGACATGTTAACCTTGTTGCTGGTGCTCCTGTACCCAAATTTGTCAAGGAAGATGAAGTGTACTGTGTGATTTGTTTCCTTCTTGTTATACGCTCGCAAATCGCGTCCCCAATTCGCACTTTCTACGGTGTTTTCGCATTCAGCTCTCCTTCACGTAATCGCCAAAATAACTTGTGGTGGCATCATCGAACAAGCATGAAAGTCACTTTATATAGGATCTATTAGAGAAGCACATTGCAGCCGGTGCAGATGCCATCCAAAAGTGTCAGTAACCAACAATTATAATTTGGATTATCACTTTTTTGATGATATTTCCTGAAATGTATATCATAGTAAACTACTGACATTAGTAAGAATTTCGGTAGAGATTCATCATACCACAACAATCCTTCAGATTTGGAATTTTTTGGTAAGAGTGACGTGATCTTACACGTAATCCAATGGGGCTTTTCGGGTCAACAACGGACGATACATTTTCATGTGCCTTGGCAAGAATTTTTCCCCTAGGGTGGAAGGTACCTTCCGACTTTGCACACGCTTGATCCCGAAATCTCAAGGGAGCAATATCAACAAGTTTACCTTTTTCTTCTCCCTCACCTCCCTCGTTTCTCATCCCCAAAACATCTTCTGAACTCAGGACGCCCGTGGGTGGCGTGTTTGATCTTTCAACGCGTCGAGTGTATTTTTAGGGGACAAAAGGGGGATGTTAACGATTTCGCGAGACGTAGAATAGTTCTTCTCTCTATGGTCCGCCTGATGCGTTGACTGAGGCGCACTGGGCTAAGTAATGTGATGGGTGTACTGGTGTCAGTCTCTGTGGCATTTATTTTCAACTGCTAAATAGGAGCAGACGGCAGAGCATACTCTGAAGGTGTGTAGTATCAGCACTCTTAAAATAGCATCGTGTTTTTTTATCCTCGCTGGCTAAATTTGATTAGGCTACATGTTTCTTGGATCCCCAGCAAATCAGTTGGTTTTGAGTGGCATTTCTGGTCAAATATTAGTTCCATTATTCAAACCTTTCGATTAATCAGGGCGTATTATTCTTGAAAAGGTCGCCAATCTTCTCATGCAATAGTGCTTTGTCATCCGATTCTCGCAACGATGGTTTCATCACCACAACAGCTGCATTAGTCGCTCAAAGAGAGGAGCATTTGAAGAATCACGGCATCCAAACAAGTATTTTAGTTTTTACGGTAACTTTGGCCACATTTATTATCCCTTTTTTGTAGAAATAAAATGTAAACACGGACCGGTGTGGTGCCCCAAGTCTTTCCTAAAGGTGAAGGAAATCATAACACTAGGTCAGAATGCGTATTGTCAACGCACAGATGGACGGGGTGGCTACTGGCATGGGCCAATGACTTGGTCAGCCGGTGAAGGTACAATTACGGAGCCCCTAATTGGCTCGTTACCAAAACCCATAGTTACGCAATCAATTAACATTACATTGCCGCTCTCGCCTTTTGAGCGTCGATTCTGACGCCCCTCTTGATCAACTCCTTGCATCAGGAGTCGTAATGTGGTCAGCAATAACATCCACCGACCAACCGCGCCAGTGATCGAATTTGCGTGTAAATGAAAAGGTGCCTGACCGCAATGTCACTTATCCCTCTTGACGATTCCACTGGATCTGGATTTCCGCCCTATTTTAGGGCAGGGAAATGTGGTGGCCATGTCCTGTCTTTATAGTTAGTCGTAGGAACAGTGGCTTCAATTCCGAGTCATTTAATAAAGGACGGGATTCAAACTAGTTTTATGGGAATAGGGTTTCGCATTTATTCATCCTTGTCACCTTTTCTCACTTCAATGCTGCCCAGCCATACCTATCTTGGTTCCATCAGTCACTGCAGAGGTGGAGGAGGTGTCGCGTGCTCATCTCATTGACATCTCCATACAGGTACGGTAAATGGCTTTGCAATGAACGCTTCCAGATGGTTCACGGCTGCTGTCAATTTAAGTGTTAACAGCTTTCCTGCAGCCAAAGTGACTGAGGTTACTACCAAAGGCGGGAGTCATTTTCAGCCCTTCAGTTAGGGATCGTCACAGGTTCCTCCATCCTCGGCATATGCAACTCTTCCGCACACTAGGGTTCTTTACCTGTTGATAGAAATCGGGACAGATGTCCTACAAGATAGGATTCGCTTTCCACTGCCAATAACAGCGCCCCGAGACTTCCCTTAAGACGAAAGAGGTGCCCGCGGTACCCGCGAAAATAAAACAGAGTTAAACAAGTAAATAAAATTTCAAATCAGCACAAATTCCCTCAAAGGCAATGAAAATTGGATGCAATCTGTCGTGAATATGAAGAGCTGCAATCGAGTTAAAATGATAAGTTCTACTAAAGAGTAGGAAATTACCATATATCTGGTGTGAAGCAGTTCTGAGATAAAGTTGGAGCTTCTTAAAGAATGTGTTGAAGGCTTGGACGACTATTACCATAGGTAGCAAGTACCGTTCTGCTCCTGTACCTTCAAGAACTAGCAAAACGATATCCCCACGCTTTTATCCCACTGTGAACGGATTCGATGGCGGTATACCGGAGCAGGCTCCCCGATGGGAAAAAATCGTGCGGCAAACGGCAATTCAAGATCTCGAGAACCTACCTTAGGTATTAGCCTCGCATACTACAACCTCCGAAGCTTGTCCGCCCTTTTTGTTATCAATTATTATGAAGAGGGGAAAAGTAATGAAAAATAAGTACAAGCCATTGTATCCGGAGGCCTGTGACCAACATTTTTACGCCCAGAATCAGGTCGTGGCCACTCAGAGGCCTTATAGTTGTCCTAGTAAAGGCACATTCCTTAAAATCTGAAAAGAGTACTTAGCCCCAGTGTTGTTTCACGTCTATTTTGCCCTTTTAAAGTCAAGTGGTTGGCATAAACTGCTACAGAAAAAAGTGTTAGTCATTTATCCCTACAGTAGCATGGGATTGCAAATAATTGGGTTTACTTGTCCCTTTTTCCAAAATAAGTTATTAAATATAAGGTAATGCGTATGAATCAGCCCTGCATGTTTAAAACGCATGGCTGTTAGGTAAACGTGGAATTTTCTTCGGCAGACTTAACTTTATCCAGTCTGATTTGTTTACACGGATGATGCAGCCAAATGTAAATGGTGGAGGAAGTATTTGTCGCGCGTGCCGTGACGGTCAACAGCATTCCGCGAATAGCACTACGACGTAGAAGTGGGCGTCCCTTCCTCTCCCTCCCCTTCTCCCTCTTACAGTCACCCTTCACGCGGCCTGACCCGGCCTGCCCCGGACTGGTCACGTAGGTGAATTTTCAGGCACCTCACGTGCAGACAGCAGGTAGACAAATCGAGAAAGGTGCGTTCACCGTCATCGCGTCTACCCATCCCCGTCCACAGCCGACGTGCTGAAACAGCAAGCTTTTTTTGGTACAGGTACACAGTCCTCTAGACAGCGGGGTTGGTGGCCGTGTTCTAGACAGAATGATAAATCTGATTCAAATGTGTGCTAGGACTCGAGCGATCCTCATCCCTTTCTCTTCTCCCACTCTAATAAAAAAAATCCACTGAATTATTTAGTATTTTTAAAATACGGAAATGGTTTTTTGCCATTGGCAAACCTTTGAAGCAAAACGATGCCCACTCCCCTCCCTGTCTGCGTGCACGGTCTCTTAATTTGGGGTTACAGGTTTGTCCGACATTCTTGACTTTAAAGTGCCTATTAATTATTTGCAGTGCGAACAGTTTTTGCCACCTAAAACACATCCATTACCCACTTCAACCACCAAAATAAATGCAAGCGAAGTCTTGTACAAGAAGTGTCAAAGGTTGCAATTCAAATCAAGGTGGGAGGAGGAGGAGGAGGAAGCGCTTATAAACAACGTCACAACTAGTATATCGGCGTAGTCGGCGCCTGTACCGAGTTGGGAGCATCACCAACATCTCCCGAGCACGTTATTTTTAAACTTGGCTGAACATTCATTTGGTTCTGTAGACTTTCGGTCATTTCAGTGGAATTCGAGTTATGTTTCCAACACCAAAATAATAACCGCATCTTATGGAAAACAGTTGCTAACTTTTCCCTTTCAGGAATTCTGATTTTCTTGTGGGGCTCCAAGGCCAGATCGAAGAGGGGCATTTGTCAAAGGAGATCGCAAGGAGCCGGAGGTAAAAAAGGTGTTTGGTGAAATTATTCATTCGGTGCATCGTGTCCGGTTGCAAAAGAGAAGCAGTGGAGACTTCACACCCACTTTCTCGGCCCCATTTGCGATGCTGAAGGGTTCATCCTTCCCCACATTACTGTGGGAGATTTCCTTTGATTTAAATGTTTTTTAGAGAGTCTCATAAATAAAAGTCCCAGTAAAGTAAATTAACTTATGATTTCGTTCTTATTATTTGTGGCTTGTTGCCCTAAAATAATTACTAGTCTTGGGTAATTATCCATGCAGCTGATTGTTAACAGGCCTCGAGGCGTGGAATGCACTTTTGGTGGTGGTTCAAATGCCTCCTTTGTAAATGTACGAACATAGTGGCATTGTCATTAGGCTGGCCCGCTTCACTGCGCCGCCATCAGCGGCGAAAAGGCTTTCCCTCCAAGCTAAATGTCATGTGATCACACAAGCTCGCTGAAACGACTTCTGTACCCTATAAGGACGCGAAAAACCCACGCAAATGCTTACCTGAGTGTGACGCATGAAGCAAAGGCATGTTCTAGTCTACCGATACTCTTTATTGCGTTCTGTACCACTTCCTAAATATGCTGAACCCTCATATAATAAAATGTCGGCTGAATTGTACACTTGATCCCATGCCATTTGCAGAAGCCTCTCGCAAGGCTTCCTGTAAAGCTGTTGTAAGAATCGCATATAGGAGGAAGGGGAGGAGGAGGGGGAGGAGGAGGAGGAGGCGAAATTAAGTAAAGATGCATTCTGTCAGAAGGACCAACTATTCATGATAAAAATAAAGGATTTCGAACCGCTCAAAATTAGAAGTGGAGATCCACGTGTCAAGACCAACTTTTGTCATGTTGTAAGTGGACTATGTAACTTATCATCTACACCTACACCAACTGGGAGAGGCGTGGAGGCTAAACCGATGGCACGCGCCACCTTCGCAAAGCGGCACACTTCGAATTTGTGGTAGAAAACTTTCTAACCCTCAGGAACAGCCGGTAGGGCCGGCCAATGGTTCGGGGGAAGTCCTGTGCTTAAGGCTTAACGCGAGACCCACTACGTCATACCGCCGCAAAAAATTTCCCGTGCGAAGATTTTCACTTTGGGATGGGAAAGGTGTTGCTTAATTTTCACCCACCTTTTTTAAATTCCTTTCGCCTTTTCTCTCAGTGATTATCTACATTTCTTGGCATTCGGTAGTCACGTGGGAAATCAAATACTCCGTTCTGAAGTAAGTAAGGTGGAAAAGAAGGTGGTTAGGGTTATACTTTTTCTTTCAAAGGCCAAATGTTGTATAGGAGTGGAATTTGCAAGCTCGCGTCCTGGTGGGCGAGGGGTATAGGCTGCAGTGGTGATTATCTCAATGACCAGAATGCTGTACGAAGCTGTCTGTCGTTACTTGATTTCATTAAAAGTATTGAACAAAATGATTTGGTTGCCTCATACAGCATGCTTGAAAAGCCTGAAAGACTCATTTGGGCGAGGTCTTTTGAGCTGCGCTGAAAATGCTGAAGTGGTCACGAGAAGAGGGCAAAACTTAAAAATCATTTCAAATTCTGCCCCGTAGTTGACCACCTTATTATTCTTTTTATCAAAAGCATTGTAATGAACCCTTCCGTAGTTATTTCTCTTTTACTTTGTGACCATAAGCGAACCTATCTAATCGGCTTATTTTACTTGGTGCTCACTGAAAGAGGTTCGCGCACTTCCACTGTAAAGTTGACCACCACAGCTCAAATATTTCATTGTTCTACTTGCAATTGTGCTGCTTATACTCATGTCAAAATACGTAACTATTCCCAGACCACGAGTATCCAGATTCTGCTTTATTGCTTTAGTCTTAACCAGTCTTTTTGGGACACAATTTGCGAGTAGATACGTCAAGGCGAATCTGTTAAAATTTATCACCTTCGTAGTCCGCCAGGTTTCAACTTCG